CGCGCTCTTCAAATCTTGCCTCTTGATTTTGGCAGCACTGTTGCCCCTTCGTGTTCCCTGTGCCTTGCCCCGAAAATACATAGTACAATGAATTGACACTACACTAGATTGGTAATCGGCAAGGCACTCGGCAAGAAATCTCGTTCGTTCGTTTTACTGTGTACGTCGTTTTTGTGGCTCACCGAGGCTCACCGGGGTCACAAATCGCCTTGGTATCTGCCTGTGACCTGTGACCCGTTTCTGTGACCGCTTCTAGTTTTGGGAAACACCCTGTGATTTCGTCCCAAACCTTATCGACTGTTTGTCACCCAATCTGGACAAGCGGTCTGCGGGCACTTTCCCGTGTATGGTCTTGGCGATTGATTTTTTCGCGTGACTTTCAGATGTTCGTTCTGTCCATAGTCAATTGACTTCCATCATGCTTCTCCCCACCGCACACCACCCATCATCGTCATATCACCACCTGGGACGGAACAGAGAAGGCACAACGCGACGACGCAACGGGCAACCTGCCCCCAGTCCATGTTCTTGTTTCTTTCCGCCCTGCTATTGCGTACGCGAGACCGTCGAGCAAGGCCAATCTCGGTCGTTCTCGTCAGGGAAACCAGCCAATGCTCTGTGGGCTCATTAGGGCGACCGAGCAATGAACCGAGAGTCGGTCCTGTTATGGGCCAAAAAAGCGGCTCTGCTGCTGATTCAGATAAGCTCGTGCATTTTCGCACGCTGTTTCGTGTGCGCAGCACTGATCAGACAGGTTTGACGTCATGCTGCAACCAGAATTTTTTTCCCTCGTCTTTTTGCTGCATTTGCTGCCAATCCGGCAATGGGCGACGGAAATACTTGGGAAGATCTACTTGAAAATTTTGGCTGGCACGACTCGAGCAGCGCATCGACCATCTTGAAGGGCTTAGCTTGGAATTTTTGCCTTGCGATCCTGGACTGCCGCGCCTTAGCTGCCGGTGGCGCCGATACCGAACTTTGAGGGAGGAAAAAGTGGTCCCTGCTCAGGAACTGGTGTTGGAAATTGAAAATTCCTCTGGTTACAGGATTCAGTCTTGGTCTGTGTAGTAGTGGTGTATTCGGGGCTGGGCCTGAACTACCGTCTGCTCCTATTATTCATTCCTATTCTTTCCGCGCGCGCAAGCGCCAAGCGGCAGCACCAGCGTCCTGCAAAAAGAACAAAAAACTGGATCTCAGAAGTCTGCCCGAGAACGAGTGGAGCCGCTGCTCCGTAATAGCATCACGAACGGAGCCCATGTCCTCCGTCGCTATTGCAGACTGGATACCACATCTCGGAGCTCTTCTCGGCTTCATTCTTGCTTTTTCCTCTGGGGCTCCATGGGCTTTTCACCAAGTCCACAATGCAGCAGAACACTCCATCCGCAATTTTCGTGAGGAGATTTCTTGGGGTCGTGTGACTGACAGAAATCTCCCCGGGGTCCCGATCAGGGGAAGGCCCGATGACTTATTGGGGTGCTTATGGGCTTATTGATTGCGGGAGCAGATCTCACGCGGAGTACGGAGAAGCATTTCGCGGGTTGGACATCCAAGGGGTCAGGTAATATGGCCGAGACGGCGGGAAGCCTCAGCGCGTAGTGTACGCGTTATTGAACTCATGATCTTGGGCAGCTCTTTCTCGGCCGTGGAACCACAATCACGGGAAGTAAAACACACTGTCAAGTTCTCGGCTTGAACTACCATTCCGAGATGAACACTCCTCTGCTCGCTTTCGCGCCTCTTTGTAGCCGGCCAACTTTTGAACTTTTATTCAAACTCGGCAAGCCTATTATTACAGAGACGAACGGTAGATAGGAAGGCAGATTGGCACTGGCAAGACCCGTCCAAGTCGAGGATCTCCCGGGGTCATGCCGCATCGCCGTCTGTCCCCGTCAACAGACCACGTTGTGCACATTCGTCGAACCACGCTCACGGTCTCGACCTGTCTGGGCGTTTCCTCCACGCAGACCCGACAGTCCTCGGCCCCCGCGTCGATATGACTGCTGGGCCACTGCGTCGGACCATGTCCATGTCTGTCGAATGCATCTCGGACCGGCATGGAAGTCTCGCGATACAACGAGTTGATCGTGGCCAACAGCGTCAACGTTGCATCTGACCTCTCCACCCCTTTGGGCCCTTGCACATCACAAGTATTGTGCTACGAACATGCTTCGAATAGGGTAAGTGCTATTCCTGTGATCTCTTCCGTAAAGCTGCCTTCTCTGTTTGCATGTATCTCGTGATTCTTCTTCTTCTTCTTCTTCTGGCAAACGCGATCTGCCCACAACGTATGTACGATATAGCAATCGAATGAGTGCTCGCGCTGCCGCTCTCCCGTGTCCGTCTCTGAGCGTATGTGCTAGTACTTATCGCAAGAGGTCCAAAGCAGAAAAGCTGACCCCCACGCAACCCTAACCCCTGCTAGAATGATTCCTGATGGTGTCCAATCAAAAGGTAGTCGTATTGCCGTATCTGGAATAAAGCTGAGATGTGGAGTCCATGCTCAATATTCCAAGTTCCAACAAAGACCTACAATCCTACACAGTAAAGGCGTTGTGCATCTCATTCAAATCTCAATATCATGCCCCAGTATGAGTTCTCATGTGACACTGTCTAGTTTCAGGCATTTTCCATGGGGATTTGTTTCTAGCAGACTCTACCATGTACCCGCTGACCTGCCTACCTACTACCTACCAACATAGGCAGGTATACCTTGTGCAAGTTGGACGTGGCATAGGAGAGCATTTAGTGACTATGGCTTGATCGTTTGTGATGATTTATTTCTGAACGGAGCAAGTTTTGAAGGAGAATTCCATTGTAAATTGCCACTATTGACTCTACATATGTAGCACGCAGAGGGACCACTGAAATAGGTACGTATCTGCCCCCAAGTGTGATCAAGCGTGCTCTAGACTTTCTTGCCCGCTACACCTTTTTCTGCACCTCCGCACGCCGCTCCTCATCAGAGGGCGTCTTAGTCAGATACTCATCAAAAACTACGCTGCTCAACCTCCGCGACTGACCACCGCCCTCCTTTTTGGCCTTTCGCCTGTACAAGACGCGCTTGCCCCACTTCCAGCTCTCGATGCCCCCAAAGAACAGGACGGCCTCGACAATGACAATGGCCCATTCCCACGTGATCCCCGTATGTTTAAAGACGTCGTGATTAATGACGGGCACGTAAAGGATCACGAACACGGAGGCGAAGCCGAACATGACGGACCAGAAGAGAAACTTGTTGTGCCAAACGTCGTGCATCCACTGCGTCAGGTATAGCGAGCTATTGGGCTGCATGCGGAAAAAGGAGCGCCTAAGGTTGATCAGCTCCCAAGCCAGGAAGAGCGAAAACCAGGTCATGGAGACAAAGCAGGTGACTCGAGCCCTAAACACCGTGTCGCATTGGGCCGAGTAGGTCGAGTTGCAGTCTGTCCCCTCGATCCCGCCGCCCCAGTGGTATGTCACGAGTGAAAAGGATGATAGGCAGAGCGCCGCCATCCACAGACCGTAGGCCAACATGTCCACCAGCAGCTCCGTGGTGAAGATACCGCGCTTGAGGTTTTGTGGCGGCCGTTCAAGAATATCTGGGGCCGCAGCCTCGAGACCGAGGCCCATATCCGGTAGACCAGACGTTACCATAATGACCCACATGATTTCCACCTTTGCCAGCATATCAGCAAGTCTATCGAAGTGCTATTATCGTTTCAGTCAGGGGGTAGGCCACTCACGGGTGAAAGGGGGAAAACGGAGAGGTGGTTTGAATCCTTGAATGCGAGGCCGATCAATAGCGTGCAAGCCTGAGCTATGTTTTGGCTAAGCAAGTGCAGCACGAATTTTTGGATATTATCAAAAATACGGCGGCCTTCCTCGACAGCGTTGAGGATAGAAGCAAAGTTATCATCCGTCAGCACGATGTCTGATGCATCTTTAGCAACATCAGATCCGGCTTGTCCCACTACAATAACATGCGTCAGCCATTCTCTTTTCTTTTTCTTTTTTCCCCTTGCCTTTTTAGGCTGGCAAATCAGTTTCGAACAGCTCCTTTGAGCATTCTGTCGGAGTTTGTTGTCTTATAGCACCATATCAGGAAATATGAGCTTATGGAACAATCAAAACAAGTAAGAAGTAACAAAATAAGTTACTTACTGGCGATGCCCACGTCGGCGTGCTTGAGCGAAGGCGAATCATTGACCCCATCACCCGTCATGGCAGCAAACGCCTTGCGTCGGTGTAGAGCCTCAATCATCCGGACTTTGGTCTGAGGCGCACACCGAGCAATGACGAGAGGCAAGACGGGCAAATTGTCAATCTCCTCATCCGTCAGACGATCAAAGTGCGCAGCAGTTGTCACCATTGCGTTCTCCGTCTGCTTGCTTACCTGGTCCAGACGATCCGGGATGATACCAATCTGCTTCGCAATGGCCAGCGCTGTGCCAGGGTGATCTCCTGTAAGCATATGAACGCTAATACCAGCTTGATGGCATGCCTTGACGGCACCTTTCGACTCGGGACGAGGAGGATCAAAGAGACCGATGAGTCCGCGGAATGTGAGCGCCGTCTCAACTTGCTCTCGGTCCTCATCGCTCGTACCGGCAGGTCCGTTGTAGGTTTTGGAAGCTAGCGCAAGGACCCGAAGACCCAGGGATGTCAGAGACTCCATGTTCGATAGAATATCTTCCTTGACCTCCTCAGTCACTTCGGTCACTTGGCCATGGCCTTCCATGTCAATATTGGTACAAGCTTCTAGAACACGTTCAACAGCGCCTTTTGTAAAGACGAATTTGGCTTCTTCACCCTTTGCCTGGTATATAACGGACATCTTCTTCACGTCGCTGGAAAAGGGGTATTCGGTGATGAGTTTCCATTGAGGATCTTCGCCCTCGGCAATGTTGCGACGATTCCATCCAAAACGTGAGGCAAAGACCTGAATGGCAATCTCGGTCGGATCGCCTCGCGCTGTCCAACCCTCGCCATCATGGGATTTGTAGACAGATGCCAAGTTGGCCAGCGAAGCAATCTTGAGAAATTCCTCGAGTGGTCTGTTGTTCTCGACAAGTTCCTCGGCCGACTTTCGATCATCCTCATCGGGCGCAATGTCCATGTCTGAAGACGAGTCTTCGCCTGGGCTGCCCGTGGTGTGGTGCAAAGCACCCATGGTCGGATTGACCGGTTCGCTTGATTCACCGACAGAGTATGTACCTCTACCGGGGATCCAAGCCTTTTTAGCAACCATTTTCCCTTGTGTCAAGGTTCCAGTCTTGTCCGAGCATATGTCAGTGACGGCACCGAGCGCCTCCAACGCATTTAGCTTTCGCACGATGACATGTCGTTCGACCATGCGCTTGGTCCCGGCTGCCATGGTAATGGTGAGTACCACGATGAGCGAGGCTGGCAGCATGGAGAGCCCTGTCGCGACGGCGTAGATGATGACCTCTTGCTGGTTTGAAAAACCGTTGGCTGCGAGCACAATAATGGCAAAGACGACAGCCACAATAAACAGCCCGCAGGCGAGGCGGGATAAGATGCGCTGAAGCGGCGTTCCAACATTGACACCGAGGAAATTTCCTACTAGGTCCTTGCCGGTCAGCGCCCACGCTTGAGCTTGACGGTGTGGTCTGACCCTGCCCTCGGGTGTTCTCTTGGGCTCCCTGACCCTGGAGTTCTTGCTGCGGAGTGCCGCTGCGATTGTGCCAATCTCGGTGAACATTCCCGTAGCAAACACTATACCTTTGGCCCTGCCTTTGGTCACGGTACTCGACGAGTACGCAATATTGAGACGGTCGCCAGGGCCTAGATCAGGCTCATAGGTCTCGCTGGCGGTCTTTTGTACCGGCAAAGACTCCCCAGTCAGGAGCGCTTCGTCAGTTTCAAAGTTCATCACTTCGGTTAGGCGAATATCGGCTGGGACTGTGTCGCCCGTCTTGAGTTCGACTACATCACCAGGTACGACCTGAATCGTGGCGACAGTGATATTCTGGCCACCTCTGATGACATGTGATGTTGGTGAGGAGAGAGAGCGGAGTGAGTCCATTGTCTTTTCGGCACTGTATTCCTGCTTGAAGCTGGAGGATAACATGTCAGCGCCGTACCCAACCACCAGCTAGTCACGCGCCTCTTGCATCAGACTCACCCGATAATGATATTGAGAATAATGATTGCAGCAACCACACCGCCTTCGATCCATGAGCGGATGCCAAAAGATACTCCCATGGCTAATAAAAGTACTAGCATCATGGCATTGGCGATCTGCTTCATCATAATCTTGGCGGGGTTGACGCCGGGCCCCTTGTCGAGCTCATTATTGCCGAACTCTTCGAGTCGATTTTGTGCCTCGCCCTGCGTGAGCCCATCGTCGCTGTCGACTCTGAGCTCGCCGATGACTTGTTCGTAGGTCAACGCGTGTGCGGGCTGGGACATGGGCTTGTTGGACTGCCCAGAGATGTGGTCTGTAAGGGCGTTTGATTTTGCCATTTCGATTCCATTGGCGACTGCGTTAAAGCTGAAGGAACTTTGCAGATATGACAATGATAGCAGACAAATTTCTTTCTCAAAGTATAGATGGAATACTTGACAACTTATATAGTCAATACACTGTCATCGAGTTCCTGTTCCTTCAACCCCCATGGACCACAGATTATATCTTGGCACGGACTGACCAGCCGACCAGCCTCGCCATGATCGTCATTGACACGCACCACGAGGCAAGGATATATAGATTTTGTTCATTGCTTTGCCGCAGACGGCTGCATCTGAGTCTTGGTAGGCACAGAGCCAAGACGACGATAACGTGCCATGGGGCGAGCTAGGGAGCGTCCGACCCAGCATTTAGATTCTTGGAAGGCTTGGTTCCCCACGAAAGCTGCCGCCATTTCTGCTGTAAGGCACGGTGGTGCGTTTGATGACTGCATTGTGCAACTTCTAGGTGGCAATTCAGTGCCGAAGAAGGGCAATTTCCCAGCTCACAGAGGAATGCCCATTGGTTGACACGAGCATCGGCTTGAATCAGGCTGACTCTGATATTCTTCTCTCTGGGTCGGTCGCGGAAAAGTCGGATCAAAAAGCATAGACAATCAGAGGACTGGTTTGGAATTTCCATACTTTTGCAACTATATACGAGTGTTTCTCCTACTTTCGCATGGTCTCGCGTAGCAATGACTCCCGTTTCCCGATCGGATGTCCCTCGCAATAGAATCAGTAACTGACTTTGTTTACAATAATTTTGTTTATCATGGAGAGTCACGGAGAGCCAAGTCAAGCTGGATTAAAGAAGAAGAAAAATAAGAAAAGGCTGTTGAACAAGATTGAATTACCCTCAAACGGCAAACCGGCAGAACTAATGGGGCAGTGCCAACTTTTAGAGGCTCGGCACTTGGCTGACAACGCCACATCTCCAAGGCCGTCCGTCGTCTGCATAAGCAAACATTGGGCGATTTATAGTCAACGAACCAATCGTGTTTCTTGGCTTTCTTGAAGATAACTCAGTTCATCGCGTGCCCTTTGGCCTAGACTATATCTGGATATTATTATATCCGTTTGTTCCCCAAATTCTTGGTAGAAATGCAAGCTTCGTCTCGGGAGACGTTGATATGGTGTCATGCTTCCTACCCATCGCCAAATAAATCGACAATCCTTTTAAGCGAGTAAATCATAAGCGAGTAAATCATACAAATAGGAACCTAAGTGAAGCTTTTTGGATTGAGAAACGGCGCCAACATCCGCAACTCAACAGGCGCTTGAACCCTTGCTTGGCAGGCGGCTGCGACGCTTCGGGCGTCTTGCTACAGCAGCAGCAGGATAAAGACTAGATAACTCCGTGATGAAGGCAACAGACGGCCTCGATTCCCAATGATCAAATGTCTCGAGGTAGAACGCGAAACGTAGCAGCCTGTTCGGGGACTTGCATCCCGGAGCTGCTGCAGTCAACTAGAAGGCAAGACCATAACCTATCACGCCCCAGATGCCTGCTCCCACCAAGAGACCGAGACCACTGTATCATGGCAACCATCAGTTGAGTTTTACTTGCGTCGGGCAAGCAGACTTACGTAGCAGGTCCTCTCCGAGTCCATGCCGTAACGGAGTCGGCAGCACAAACGATCAAGCTCCCAAGAATGACGGTTCCCATCTCGCGGGTTTTGCCCTTGTAGGCAAAAGTGAAGAGGATCACAGCCGTGCTGATGTCTCGGGCGGCAATAAGGGTCATCAGCCAGCCGACCTGCTGACGCGCATCGACCTGTGGGCTGATGACATGTTTAGGGATGTCGTAGAAGCCCAGCGCCGCCTTGACTGGCTGAATTGCCTGGAAGACGCCCAGGCCCGCGTACGAGGCTGCGACGCCAAGACCCAGGTAGCGCCAGGTTGCTGTACTTAGCCTGGACATGATCGCGAATTGAAGTTTTGACAGTACAGTTTTTCTTGGTTCATGTACGTCTCTTTCCACAGCAATACAGCAATATACTTGGGAGTTGAGAGCTTGAATGTTGCATCGTGCACATGGCAGATATCTAGAGCGAGTCTCAGTAGGCGCGGGCACATGAACTATTTACGACCGATCGAGCAGCAAACACAATCTTTTCGGAATGCGCAAAAAAAAAAAAAAAAAAAAAAAAGCAATCGCTGATTTCCGCATCGATGTACTTTGTTCACGCATTATGACGAAGACCCGATAGCTCAGATGCTTCCAGAGCTGACAAGCCCATGCGAGCGCCTGACTAAGACACCTCAAGATTCATGATCCACCAACTAAAAGACTGACAGCTGAAGCTGGTGCGGGGATGTTTTCATCGGAGGGGTACCTTGGGATCAATCGATATGATGTTGTCCCACCCGGACCCTGGATTCAGTTGTCCTTCCATTTTGTTGGTGATCGGAGCCTCGGTGTCGGGTCTCCAGTTTCCTGACCACATGCACGGCATGTTGGCTGATTATGGGTCCTTAGCAACGTGATGAGAAAAAAACACCAGAATGAAATAGGGGTTTAGGAGTGGAGATCTACAACTGGCAACATCACACTCCTTACATACATACATACATGCCTGGGAAGGGCAGATATTTCAACTAATCTGCACTTTGCCCAATGCTACGCCAGTAGATGCAGACCTGTAGGAACGGCGATATACATGTGCACTTTGCAATAAGGTCCTACATACACAAAGGGGGGGGGGGGGGGGGGGGGGGGTCATCTACATTCAGGTAGCGCAAGTTTAGATGCATCACCGTTCAAATGTTGTTTACTGGCAAAGCTGGATAGGGGTCACGCATGCACGAGATGAGGGGGGTCAGCACCAGGTCTTTCTTTTCTGCAAGCGCCAGCCAACGCAGCGAGGCCAAAAACCTGAATTCCAGCATGCCTGTATCCGAACATCTTCATAGGCCAGCAAACAGCCTCAGCTCTGCTGGTGCGACATAGTTGCCATGTAGAGACCAGCTGGTACTGCCATGTAGATGTACGTAACGTACCTTGGTGTACGGTCTGTAGTAGGCAGTCTAGTGTAAGTATGTGTGCAAGTGTACATGCCTACCTAGGTAGTTCTAGACTACCACGTACTTGTCGCGGGGCCCTTGTTTAGACGGGTGAATTGAATAATAAACAAGGTTCGAAATGAAGCCAGTGCTTCTTCCCAAGCCCAACGGAGACCAAACAGACAGCAGACACGAAGCTCAACGTTCCCCGCCTTTCTGGAACTTTACTAAATTAAAGGTTCACTCATTCCCATGAACCAGGCCTTTGGCTCAATCCCATGATCTCCTCCTATTCTCTGTAATCAGTTGCTGTAGCAAGCACTTGTGCGAAAGCCGGAGAAAGAACAGATAAATACACACAACCACCATCCAGACAAGTGAGCGGGCAACGCCGTAGACAGAAGCCACAGAGCCACGAAAGAAAACGTTCACCTCACCGCCACCGTAGCAAGCGAGCATCATGGCCGAAGACAGCAACGCCCAGGAGGTCCAGAAGGTCGACGAGACCCCCATCTCTTCAGTCCACTCTCCACAGGGCCGCAAGAACTCGGTTTCGCTGGAGCAGCACCTTCAACACCGACCGGAGCGATCAGAGCTCGTCGCCAGTACGTGATTCTTCTACCTTTACCGCCTGACTTTCACCCGGTCTTATTACCCCCCAATAACTTAGACCCCGGCCAGAGCTTCCAATTTTGGACGCCGACTCGAGACTTGGACAGGTACTAATGTGACGTCATTCTAGAGAACATCCTCCCCGACTCGACCGCCGCGCCAGGACTCCAAGAGAAGCAGAAGGAGGTGAGATGCCAACCAGTCACTGCATTGTATCAAACAGCGCATAAATTGACGACCATATACAGCTTGAGAAGCACATGCGTGCAGATACCCTCAACGACAAGATCTCGCACCGGCCCGACCCGGAGCAGCTGATCAAGGAGGGCGTCCTGAAGGACGACCCCAGATCACCCGACGAGAAGTACGCAGAGGCAATTGAGGAGGAATATGCCAAGCGCGAGGGTGGTGCTTAAGTAGGGGTTCAAACCTACCTGGCCATCATCCAACCTTGCGAGATTGAGACGGTTCCGCAGCTATATAACAGAACAGCTCTTGTTGCGCCTATTTCTCTGACATGCGACAACTTTACTACGATTCGTCAACTAAACAACATTTGGGGGTATGGGCTTGAGTAAACAAAGAGAGAAAAAAAACACAAATAGAATATTCATCTAGCTATGCAGGCTATTGGTTCTTGGAATGTTTGCAGTAACTGTACCGAAACCCAGAGGAACTGTAGCTCAAGCTCTTGGTTGCACCAGCGTACCATGCCAATTTGGATTAGCGCTAAAGTGCTGCCCTTTTACATGTATCGATATTTGGGGAAGTATATTATTTCAGTGCAATCGGTGGAATAGCTTCAAATATCGTATGTGTATCTATATGGCACAAACTTCCAGGTCCTTATACAAATTCATGTGAGTCGCAGCAATGACCATGGACCTTCGAAATGTCTCGATCGAGCTGCACAGGCACAGTCCAAATTGATTGACGTAATTGACTCGCAAAAACCACACCAATGCTGTTCTAGACGAATCCAGGTACCTAGGTATACAAGCATCTCAGACTAGCAAGACTGGAGAATTGCACGAAGAACTTTGTTTTGAAAACAATTCGACCACCATGCCCTCTGGGAAAGTCGCTGCGGGGCGGTTACCGAGTCATACACAACTCATTGAGTTCTTCAACATTACTATACCTAGCCATCCTCAGGACATTCCTCTCCAATACCACGTGCCACGATGGCCCCGTTACGATCCCGATGTGGTTTTCGTGCGTGACATTGTTCTTAGCATCACACCGACCCTTGGCGTGTATGACAAGCTGAACCACCTGGCCAGAGGCCGACAGAAGGCTGTATGTTTTCTCCACCGACCATTTCAGCTGGACCGCCGCGCACTACCTAGGGGTTCACTTGTTCTGGCAAACCACAAGCGCTTCGACGAGTTGCTGACTACTGGCTACAACACGGCACTCGCAACGCGGTTGACCGTTGATGTCGGCCGGTCATTCTGTATACAAGGCTACAAGGGAGATCCAGACCGACGCATTGGCATCGTTGGCCCACTGGGAGCCGCCCAGCCACTCAAGGTGCTGGCAAGTACGATTGGGGCCGAAGTCGGCATGGCAGAGCTTTACCCAGGTAGCGATGTCTCTCCAGTAGAGGTGCGTGCCATGGCTATAATGAACGCATTTGGCCCGGATGAGGTGGCTCGCGTGTTAGCCGGAGCTGAGGAGCATGGGCTGACGCCGGCCGGCGATGCGTCGGGTCTGCTATACCTCACCGGACAGCCCCGAGAGCTCGGTCTCGAGGCGGCAAAGGTTGCTAACATGCCGGCCATTTGTGTAGGGCACCGCCCAGCGGAGGAATGGGGGATCCGCTATTTGGCCCATCTATTACGGGAGTCATGGCCGCAATTGGCGGTGCATGTAGTCATGGAGGAGGAGTCTTTGGCTACAGGCGAGTCTGAGCCAGAAATCACTGCTGGTGCGACGGAAGTTGGCATTGCTTCCGGGTAGTGTGAATATATTTCTTTCCTGCATAAGGCCTCAAATTTCGTCGCCTCCATCTGACGGGGACCCGTTTCGTTTACCAATCATTCAGACGCGCCTCACGATCTTCATCTCCTTGAGTTGTTGTCGCCTGCCCGTCATGAAAAATTGATTCGCTCTCACCTTGGACCAAGTTCAAACTCCAAGCTTCGTTTTGATGCTTTGAATAAAGTTTTCGAAATTGTCGTGCACGTGAATATTGTATCTCTCACAAACAACCTTCACATTACCCTTCTTGGGGTAGCCGTCCTCCACGTACACCACTGCCTTCTTGTCCTTTGCACAAAGCCCCAATTCCATGAGGCTGATGGGCGCAGCTGTATTGGCGCCAAAGTAGACAGCAACAACGCAGGCTTCTTCCTGTTTCGACAGTTCCCAATTGACCTGGTGCCGGAAGACGTCATGTGTCCAGCTGTCGGTCCAGTCGGGGCGAAGGGGATCGAAAATCGTGATTGGCAAGTCTGACAATTGATCACAGACTCCTGTTCGCCAGTCGGGCGGTCCTGTTGTTGTGCCCGCGAGAAATACTGTCTTGGGCCATTTTACTGCCTCGTCGGAAGGGGCTTTTATGACCTGCGCTTTGCTTTGTGCTGGCTGCTCCTGAGACATGACTGTTAAGTGTGAGAGACTTGAATTTATTGGCGGTGAGATGGGACCAACCAAGTCAAATTTTCGTGCAACCGGATGATATAGAAGACGTTGGCTTCGCCGTCGAAAAGAGATGTTTGCTGGGCGCGAGGCTCTGCCCCTCCTTCAACGGCTGCCTACGTCCGTATCATGGTGGCGGAGGCGTGGTTCTGGCAACGGGCGGGTACATATTATCGTTCCCGTGCATTGGCAATTATTGAACAACATACATTCGGATAAGTCAAGTGCCAATTGAACGATGCGCGTACTGTAGGTATTTCGACAGCCCGTCAATCGCAAATTGGAAAGCCGATTGCGATAGAAAGTGAACAATAGTTGTCACACGGTACGAAGCCGGGCGTATATCTACTTTGACGTAGTGGAATCAACAATTTACATACTCGGTGGTACCTTGCTCAAGCACCATGACTTGGACACCACGCTACCTACATACCATACTCGCGTCAGTCCTCGGCCAGGTCTCTTGAACGAGCATACCACTCTTCCTAAGCAGGTGCTATATTTGACAGATGAGTTGTGTCATTGAAAGTAAGATTGGACCCTATGAAGCATAACACAGAGACCACGTGCCCCTTCGGTGAGGCACGGCTCATATGGTTCTGTCATGCCAAAAAAAAAAAAAAAAGTCGGAATAGCCCAGGTCAGTTTGCCCCTGCCGCTGCAAGGTCGGCTAACCCCGCAGAACCAGCTAAGTCTCGAGGCCTTCCCAGGGGCAGTTTAGCCCCGAAGCAGCTGACCCCTTCCGTGACCCTTAGGAGGTTCTAGCGGATGCGGTGGCATGATGGCCCACTGTCATTATTGGACAGCACGCAAGCAGGAACGGGATAGACCTGCTAGAAAGTGCCAATCAACTCATCTGAAAGGCCTGGAACCGTCGGCGTTAGGCGGCTGCCCCACGCCCGAGCTGCCGGTAGGTACCCCGCGGACTCAAAATTTTAGTACGTACACGACACTAGAGGTGAAGCCAGCCATTGCATCACTCACGATAAAAATTTCTGTGTCTGTGTTTGACTAAACTGGCATTGACCCCGTAAAAACTCCAACTGGACTCAAACTCCAGACTTTTAGATCTACACTACATCGTCTAGAGTAGCCACTCACTCTATGCCTACCCTATTATCTTGACTGCAAGCCTGGGAATCCTCGTTTTATTTCTGTATTTCATTCGTGCCTGGACAATTGACTGACGGGTAAAGAAGAGTCGGAGAAAAAAACGCGTCTCCTTCCATCCCATTGCACAACTCTCAAAACAAGCCATTGAGGTGTCGGTTGAGACTCCTCCTCCGTGCTCCATCTTCAACTCACCAACATCATGTCTGCCACGCCTCCGCCCTCGGAGAGAGAGGCTCGCGTCGTCTCCGGCCATCTGCCTTCCGGCTACGGTGCTACGTTTGACGGTTCATCCGCTCCCACCTCGGATCCAGGCCCTACAGAATCCCCCGAGCTTTCGTCGCTCAAACTGCCTGGAGGTGACATTCACCGGGACTTGTTCAGGATCCAGGAACGGCACAAGCAGGCCAGGATACACCAACGGTCCAACACCTTTCACCATCCTGGACAATTGCGCTCGGAAGATGACGACGAGGGTCTTGCTGTGAGCAACCAGCTTGCCCCTGGCGGCTTTCGACGAGCCTTTATTCAACAGCAACATCAGGAACAACAGTTCCTGGCTGCCAGGCTGCCTATCACGAGGAATTTTGTCGAGTTCTTGGACCTATACGGCTCTTTTGCTGGAGAGGATCTTGCCGACTCTGATGATGAAGCCATTGTGTCTGATGAAGAGGATGAAGAGAGTGCCCCTGAACAGAGGCCATTGATCCAACGCCGCAGGTCGACTCGCACGATTAGAGTGGCCACCGCAGGTACGACCAAGACGTTTTTCACTCTGCTAAAGGCTTTCATTGGCACCGGAATCATGTTCTTGCCCAAAGCCTTCAGCAATGGCGGTCTGGCCTTTTCTTCCATCACCATGGTTTTGGTCTCGGCTGTCACCATGATATCCTTTCACCTGCTTCTGCAGTGTAAGCAGCACCACTCTGGCGGTTATGGTGAAATTGGCGAAGCCATTGCTGGGAGAAGGCTCCGCAATCTGATCATGGGTTCTGTCACCTTCTCCCAGCTCGGCTTTGTCTGTGCTGGAATCGTCTTCGTTGCTGAGAATATCGAAGCTTTCCTAGGGGCAGTAACCCAGGGCACTAGCCACGTCTCGTCTGTGAGCATCATTTTGATACAGCTCGCGGTCCTGATTCCGCTGTCCTGGATACGAAATATCTCCAAGCTGGGCCCAGCCGCCCTGCTCGCCGATGTGTGTATTATGATGGGTGTAACTTACATCTACTACTATGACATTGGTAGCCTGGCCAGCCACGGTATGGACAAGACCGTTGTCATGTTCAACCCCGACAGCTACACCATGATGATTGGGTCCGCCATCTTCACCTTTGAGGGCATTGGTCTGATCCTCCCAATCCAATCGTCCATGGCCGAGCCCGAGAAGTTCGAGCCCCTGCTTGGTCTCATCATGGTCATTATTACGATTGTCTATACATCGGTTGGCGCACTTTGCTATGCGACCTTTGGAAACGATACATATATCGAGATTATCAACAACTACCCTCGCGATAGTCGTTTTGTTCAGGCCATGCAGTTCTTGTACTCGCTTGCCATTCTCGTCGGCAACCCTGTGCAGCTCTTTCCAGCGCTGCGTATCCTCGAGGGCGGATTGTTTGGGCATCACTCTGGTAAGAAGAGTCTGAGGACCAAATGGACTAAGAACTTTTTCAGGGCCATGATGGTACTCATCTGTGGCGGTGTCTCTATTCTCGGCGCTGGTAACCTCGACCGTTTTGTCGCACTGATTGGCTCTTTTGCTTGCGTGCCACTCGTCTACATTTACCCACCTTACCTCCACTACAGAGGCGTGGCCACCTCCAAGTACGAAAAGATTGGGGATATCGTCTTGATGATTGTTGGCGTGGTCTGTATGATATACACCACGATTGTCACGGTCAAGAACAGTTTCATGTAAATCTCAACCGACTTTTCCTATGTTACACATTGGCATACCGGACATTAGAGCATTGTTGGGTTCTCGGGCAAGCGACATCATCTTTCCATTTGCATTTTTCTTTCCCAGGATACTACTTCATCAACATCATGTACCAATAGCGATGCGACACGATTCATATAGCAGATCTCAGAGGAGATTATGTCTGGGTCGTCGACGCCACAAATATCAAATGATCAATTAATATGCCCCTCACAAACAAACAATTCTAGTTAGTCTTATTACCATCCAAACTGCCCTCGGTGTACCGTCTCAAACACTATAAGTTGACGCTCATTTGCCTTAGAGACGATGAGAATTACATGCAAGCTTTTCGTTGTTCGTAGCAACCACACTGAACAAAGTTTGTGATGGAGGAATTGACATTTTGAAAGTCTGCCTTCGAAATTGAGATATCTGATGCAGTCGAATACATAACTGCCACGTCTACTCTGCCGAAAGTGTCTGATCAATCTTGTCCTGTAATTCAGCCAGGCATTTGAAGTCATAACTAGGCCCGACCGACGCAGCAGGCTCTTCATCCCACCCCACGCATTTCCAGCACTTCAATATGTTGTTGGGATCGTACCGCTTCTTGATGTCGAGCAGGAATTCGTAGTTGTCGCCCCACCACGCCGTCTTCCAATCCGGCGTGAAGGGATTGGCCTCGTTATGGTAGGAGCCGCTGTCCGGGTAAAGCTGCTCGGATCTTTGAGTTATTTTTGTGAGATTGACAAACGACTCGAGCCTCTGGGCGACCGTTGAGTTCCAGCCTAGACTCCAACCCGACGACAGACTCCAGATTGCGGAATACCACGCCGGGGTCACAGAGGTCCCGGTACTATAGGCGCCTCCTGACCCGGACCGCCGCCCCGCTGGCACATCTTGTGCCACAAACGGCGTGGAGACTGGCACGTAGAAGCTTTTGGGTTGGGCGCCCAGACTTATCGAATAGTCGATCAAGGCGAGAACGTCTTGTACTCCGGTATCCGTGGACAAGGCTTCCGTGGGCACCAATCGACTGGTGAGAAACCGGGCTTGGCCCGCGCTGTTCAGCGCTCCCGGAACAACGTACTTGTTCCACGCCGCCAGCCAGTTAGGAACGACTTCGACAATGCTCGTCCCACCGTGTGCAAGGGCAAAGTCGGTGGCTCGCTGCATGGTCGCCTGCGCAGCGGCACCGCCATCGCTGAGATTGGCGTACTGCGGAATGGGATTGAAGTGCTTGACGTACAGACCTGCGACGTGTCCTCCCCAGCCCTGCCGTCCCCACGCGTATGATTCCGACGCCTCGAGCCCGATCCACTCGAGGACGGTGTCGTCGGTGCTGTTGCTCGGTATCGTGATGGACGCCACAGCAATGGGCAACTCTGGCTCGACCCGATGCGTGGCCTCGAGCACGACGCCAAAGGTTCCGCCGCCGCCGCCGCGGAGAGCGCGGAAAAGATCCGGATTCTGACACGCATTGGCTACCCGGAGAACGCCATCGGGCGTCACGAGCTTGAAATCGACTACACGGTCGACACCCAGCCCGTACACGGGCGCGAGCGGACTGTGGCCGCCGCCCTGAACCCAGCCCCCCGACAACGCAATGGTTGGCGAGTAGCCACCGAGGATCGTAACGTTTTGCGCATCGGCGAATTCGTACGCAGCGCCTGTGCTCTCGCCCGCAGCGACGGAGATGGCGCGACCTACGCCGTCATTGCAGCCCTCGGGCACAAAATCTTCCTGGTACTCGAGGCCCTTGAGGTTGTGGACCCAGAGCTCAATGGAGGATAAGCCACCAGCGGCTTTGGCACCAGAACGCGTCATGTAGTCATGACCACTATTCTTAATGCTCAAGGGAAACCCGTATGCATTAGAGAAGCTCAAGACACTGATGATATCCTGCGCGTCCGTCACCTCGACGTAATAATCTGGTATATTGCCACGGCGGCAGGTGGCATTGCTCGGCGGAAGGCCGGCGGGCGTCACGGTATTGTCGAGTATGCATTGGTCCGCTGGGTCAGAGACGCACATTTCGTTTTGATTATTCATAAAAGCAGCAGCTTGTTCCACCCGGAATGCGTTGGTTGTATAGTTATCTCGGACGGCCAGACATGCTTCTTCATCGACTGGTTGGGGCTTGCCCTCGAAGGATGAAAAGCAAGGCGCCGCAAAGGGCCGAGATGTTCTCAGCATGCCATTAAGCGAGACATTGAGGGCTGCAATCCGTTCATCGTGGTCGAGGCAGGAACCGACAACGATGGGAATACAAATTTGAAGGAGGATAAGTCTGAGTCGTGCCATCTCGACGATGAATTCATAACGTGCTGCAGTGCACAGTTGGGCAGTATTCAATATTCCCAATGATCACAATCTCTCGTCGTACTGGCAGGTCCGAGGGTCACGATTGGCCATTGGATACTTTATTTCAACAACCGCAAGGACGGTGGGCAACAGGCGCTGTTCGGATATAAATACGACATGTTTTAAATGTGCCGTCACGAAAATGACGGATAGCAGTAGCAGTGAAAATGGAGGTACATGGATAGCAAGCTGACACGCATATGCATGTGGAGGACAATGTAACAATGATTTGGAGATGGCGACAGCAACACATACCCGGCTTGAGCTCTGATCAGCGGCTTGTGTCTTGGCAGATGACATGTCATTGGCTCCTTATGGAAAGTCGCCCTGGCTTGGATCATGTTTCCTCGTTTCCCCGCTGCTGATTTCTTTTTCAATCAGTCATTTGAGCGAGAGACGGGCTTAGAGGTTGAGGATCTTGCATGAACCTTCAAAAACAGTCGGAATCATTATACAAAGAAAGTTCTGATCGTCTGATGCAGCTGTGATATGTGTCTTGGACTCTGTAGCCGAGGTCCCGCCGTTGGTAGTAAGTTGTCAAGGTTGTGCATGTAGGTAGTCAGATTCTCTAGTCAAAATTATGCCATTGTCATATCATGCGGCAGACCATGCCATGTACAATATGAGAGCTTGACCGACTGATGAAGATTCATCTATTGTTCATGTAGTTGATAAAGAGCGTTTTGTTGTTGCTAGAGCTGTACGTCCGTAACAATCTACTCTTAGTATCATCGAGTAGCTTTGCCATTTTGGTGAGCTCCACGCTCGTGTACTTGTCATACTCGAATGAAACATGACCTGTAAGTGGAACAATAAGCTCCGAGACAATGAAGGCGAGTATCAAATAACAAGAAATGTGAAATTCGGCTTGTGATTTAACAGGGGGCTGAGTCTTGGGTGCTAAGATCATCTGATGAGCTTGTTCCAAATGAGGCTGACCGGCCTTATGGCTGAGGAAGCTCTTTGACGCTGGCGTATATAATAAGTTTTGGCATTGGAGATGCCGTCAAGCTGAAGCGTGAAAATTACGAAATATAGGACTCTCAAAAGTATGTTCAGAATGAGCCTTGTATCGAGTCTCAGGGCATTTTCAGCTAGAGGACACGAAAAGATCGTCGACGCTTTGCTTCACGTATTCTGCTCAGTGAATTTTTGAGACTATTCGCTGATGAGATAGGAGGAGAGCAAAGGCGATGAGCATGGATGCCGTTTGCCCTGCCAATTTAGTATGCGCTTGGTGACAGATTGTGCCCACGGTCCAAGAGGACTCGATGCTTCCCTTGCACCGAACGTCTGCGAATCCCATTGCATTTGGGCCATGAGATTCACCGCATCACAGTGCCTTTTCGCAACAGACAAGTCTCCGAATTTCATCTGCAAGTGAGGTCAGAATCATTATCCTTGTGTCAATATTGATCAGTCCCTACAGCGTCTAGAGCCAAGGCTACGACGATAAGAATAGTACTGGTTTTCGGATTCGACGTTTCATTGGATAGAGCTTCATTGACGGTGTGCATACACTCAGCCCTATAGGCCAATGCACGCTTATAATAGTCGCCAGTGGCGCCAAGCTCAATGAGGTTCCCACATGTGGAGAGGAAGAGGGCATTGAGCAGTTCTCCATCAGTAACGGAAAGCTGCACCCAACCAAGCCTCATGCCTGTATAACTCAGAGTCTCGGCGTCTGCCTCGATGAGGATTGTGGCGTGAGTTGCTAGATGTTGCAGAACTGCCGAATCCAGAGTCAGCCGGAATATTCTCCTTGCTTTTCAGACGGATGATGTGTGCGTCTGATGGTCAATCATACAGTGATTCATGAGGAAGCATTCGGTGCGTGTCGTGGACCTGCCCAGGCTATCGAATGGATCCACGCTCCTGATGCCGCATAGGCTCTCTGGGTTTTGCAGGATACAAGCTACTTCATCCGCCGCAACCTCTTGCGCTGCATCAGCCTGCTGCTGCTGGTGCTGCTGGTGGTCAACGAGACGCTGCCGTCGAGCAGCCGAATGACGCGCCGACGCCGCCTGAGAGCGAACTGCCTTGCGCCACGACGAGTCACCAGGGCCCCTGACTTGGATAAAGGTCGGAGAAGCGATCCCCGACGCTCGCGAGGACCTGATGCCCTTTGACGGAGGCATTTCTGCGGCCCTGGGCCAGAAGCAAAGACGCGATGCCCGTTGTCAGATTTGAGGGGTGATACTCTAACGGCGCCCGTCTGCGATCCTAAAGTCCCACTGTCCACGCCAAGACCTACAAATACTATATCCAGTTTAGTTCCACTGGAACCTGGTGCTGTGCCTCCATTGTTAGCGCAAAGTGGGAATCCCCCGGGGCTTGAGATGCTCTGAGGCGGCCAATCACGAGGGACGGTGGCGCTGATCGGCCTGAATACACTCCGTGATAGTCAGCTTCCGAGTTGTGAGTCGGGTTCATGATAATGCCTAGCTTATGTATACTAGGTATATAAAGAACGTGGCTTTCATGTAAATATCATTTCATTCTATCATATATTCTCCTTTCAAGCAAGAAAACAACACTTGAGAAAAAGAGGCACTCGTCCATCACCGCCGCCACTTGAACTTCACTTGCCGAAAACAAAAACACTGTAAACTTTGTGTACATATCTTTCACTTTCACTGTCACTTCCATCCCCGCCATCATGGTTACGATATCTGCCGAGGTGGAGATTCAAGCGTCTCCCGAGACTGTTCGCTCTGTGGTCAGTCCATGGTTTTTTGTCACTTGTGGATCGCTCAATTAAAGGATTCATCAGTTTATGAACTTCTCACATTACAAAGAGTGGTCGAAATGGACATTCACACCGCAAGTCCCAGAGGTCAAGCCAGATGATCTAAAGTCCGGGGACAAGCTCCAAGTCGATTTGAGTTTTATGAAATTTCAACCAGTTGTACTGGTAAATTTTCCTACCCTCATCCCATGTCCTCACAAGACTGATAGATCACGTACTAGGATAACTCGGCAGAGCGGTTTCAGTGGGACGGTAAGCTGGAACCGATATTCTCTGGCAAACACGAGTTCACTTTTGCACCGAGCACAAAAACTCCGGGCGGCACCACGTTTACACAGACGGAAGAGTTTCGAGGCCTCCTATCGTTCCTCATGAGACCGGGGTGGAGTTTTGCCAACTCCACCTTGGAAAACTGGCAAGCATTCAACAAAGATCTGAAAGAAGAGGTCGAGAAATCTTCAAAGTAGGAGGGAATTCATGGGGTGACTTTGGATATAGAGTAATCGCAGGATACCAAGAACTTGGGTGCCATTGATGGTAAACATCTGTATCCATACAACTTGAATTTCAAATTATGAACTTGACCATTCAAAGCATGCCCTGACTCTGCTAGCAAGTAGTATACTTGTCCAAATCACCCGGAAATATCCCAGGCATCTTCTCCCACGAAACCGTTGGCAGAGTTTGGTTACACGCTTGACCTTCGATAGAAGGAGCATACACTATACAATTGTGGCCCAAGCACATGGAAACGTTGGAACCACTGGCAACTTCCTCTGCCACCGACCTGACCTCAAGCTCCATATAGGCTGCACCCCCTTTTCTGCCTTGGGTACTTTATTCAACGGATCTGGTGCTTGTATCTCCAAGTACTTGGTGATTTCTCTGAGAGATTTGAAGGCCATGCTTTCTTGTCTTTGTAACAGGTCTGCGTGCAATTTCCAAGTCCAAATATTGAGGTTGGCGTTGCATTCTTCAGACTCAAGGCTACTCGAGCTTCCCATATCATCACTCTGGTCAATAGAGTTATTGGGATCTGTTGTCCGTGCCCAGTGCACTCTCCGTCTAATCTTCCTCATTCTTCGACGGTAGGATTCCATGATATTCTTCGTGGTCTTTTCTCGAGGCATAATTCGACACTGCATTGTCTGGAGAGGGCGGTCACTGTACCAGTACTCGGTCGCTATTTCGTGCGCCCAGAGGTTTCCCGGTAATTGTCCCCAGCAGTCAATCCAGATCCCTCTGTCCTCCCACTGGCTTCTAACCAAGCGATACGCAATAGGCTTTATCGTAAGGAGATCCTTGGCGACGACGGTGCCCAACCTCACAGGCAACTCATTGAGAAGCATCTTTTCGGCAACGGTCACCTCGTGTCGAAATACATGGATTGGCCTGCTTTTGTTGAAAATATCCATTCTCAGTTCATTCTCCAGTGGTAGCGCCCAACTGGAATAACAAGGGCCCCGGTCATGCTCGGCATCTTCGGTGTCACCATCCTGCATGAAACTCTCGAAATGAGGGCCCCAAATGCCCATCTCCTGCCATCCTTTTTTGACGTAGAGTCGAGCTTGTAACAAGAACGAATCAGCCTCTCCAGCTGAACTGCCATTGAAGCCATGACCCGATTTCAGTTTCGACTTGTTCACGCCAAGTCGATTGGCTTCCAATTCGACCAAGTCGTTGAATTGATAGGCAGGACGTGACCGATGCTTGTTGCGAAAATTCCGCCATTTTTTCCAGTCCCCTGGCCCTAGTTGTCCGAGGGCAAACTTGGTCATGTTCTTGCAATAATATGGTCAACAAGCTACACCGAGACGTTCCCCAGGCGTAGAATATTTGTTCTCCTTTCGCTCCTCGACTCAAAATTACTATTTATCACATGTACGTGAATTCGAAAAAAAAAAAAAAAGCTTGTCAATGCTTTAGAAAAGAATAATGGAGTTGTCCCGAAGACAATGGTCCAGGATTCAAATCCTTGTGTGTTTGCTTGTCTCGACCTGGAGCCAATGAAAGGGTGGAATACATAATCGTCGTTCCAGATCCGGTAATGTCTCGCCTGCATGCGGTGGGCGATCCGCATATTATACTCGATCCCTTGGAATCCTATTGCGGCGATGAATAGGAATGTTTCAAGCAAATATGAACCAAAATTGTCCTATAAAACCTTGAATCAAGAAAATATGCCTCATTGGCCGCCCCATGCGAATCATCTCTCTTCAGACGGTTTTACAGCAGCAGCATTGCATACCGCTAGGTTCAAAGAAAATCAGAGATCGATTACATAAATTGCCAGTCAAGTGAAATACATTGAGACGACGAGTATGTAATCTTTGGATTATAATTCGACAAGCAGTTGAAATTGGTACACAGCTCCACGAGGTATAATGGATTATATATATGTGCATCAATTACATCGCATTATAGCATTATATCCCAATAACCGCTCAATTATGTCCAAGAAGGAAATCAGATTTCGCCCAAGACGCCTCTGCTAAGATACAGGTAAGATGGTTCTTTATTTCGTTCTTCGTTTCATCTCGTGACAAAATTTGCAGATTTTATCGTCATGTGATGGTATATGTATATCGAATAGCAGAAGTACACTGCAGTACAACGCTTAAGATTCGTTCCACGGAGTAGATTGTAAGAGTGCTCGAGCTTTATAGGGACGGCGCCTCCCAAACAAGCAAGGGTATCATGATACAAGCGACACGGCTCTGGGCGGCTTATGCCGCAAAAATTATTTCAATCTTGGCTACCGGAAGCCGCGCTCTCTCGACTCATCTCGTGGGTAGGCACTTGATGGCTCAACTATGATTTGAGGAATCTCATCAAAGCTTAGACTAGGTAGTCGCGGAAACGGTACAGGCCTCGACGGCGATCCCGAAGACGAGTCTTGCGAACGCCTGTCTGAGCGAGACCTGCCACCCAGGTCTCCATCAGGGGCCACGTTGTCGAACATGTCCGCCACTTGAGCGCTCAGCCTTCGATCGCGCTCTTTCGATGGACCTGAAGAGTAATCGGGCGGTGGTTCATTGAAATGAACGGGCGTTGTAGCTCCAGAGCGCGTATCGTCGAGGCTTACGTCGTCGTAGGTCGGAGGATCATGCAAAGGTAATCCAATCTCGCCGAGGTCAGCCTCTGTGATAATTTCGGGACTCGAGCCTGCAGTATCTCCGTTATGCTGTGTCGACAATCTCCTTGGAGTAGTTGCCCCGGATCTCGGGAGCCCGGGAGATGAGAGGTCGCGCGAACTGTCGAAACTCAATACTGAGCTAGCACTCCGGTCTCTCCGATGCGACAGTGCCGACGGCGACCTAGTCGATAGGGAAATACTGGCGGCATCCGAGAGAAGCTGGACTCTGTCGCTCTCCTGACTGTTGGCGCGAAGTCTCGAACCATCATGCCTCGCCACGCCCAAACCCTCGTAACTGACACTGGATACTGCTCGCGCACGTTGTTCTTTGATCTGAGCCTGGTGTTCGCGCAACTCATTGCTCGCGTTGGACGAACTGGCGGCCCTAGCTCTTGATATCTCTCTCAACTCTCTCAAGGCCACATGGTCGCCCCGTCGCCTGGCCTCATCGCGTAATTGTCTGGTTTCGGCCTGTGCGGCGATCCGTTGGCGCCTGCTCTCGCGTATCTGATACATGGTTTCCATCTCTTCATCGCGCAAAGCTTCATGCTCCTCTTCGGTAGGATGTTCCACTACAATATCGACGCCGTCTCGGTCACCCTCTCGGCCAAGCACCTGCTCATTTGCGCTGGCGCCAGGTGAATAGGCTGGAAGCGTCATGATAGATCGTATGGATACATTTCGTTGCACGTTGGATGTCATGTTTTCGTTGCGATTTGCTGAGTTGTTACTTGTACCGCCAGCATTACGCCGGCTGGGGGCTTCTAGTCCATCATCATTGTTGTTCGCTTGTACATATCGGTGTCCCTTCTTTCCCTTTCTCTTCTTCTGCCGGCGATTCTTGGAGATGGCCCAGGCGATGGCGCCGCAGACGACGAATGCGCCGAAAACAGATGCAACCTGGGGTACAAGGTCAGTTCAGCTGCCAATCCGGGCAAAGGGCAATGGATGGGTGGAATCGTACAATGATGATTGCATTTGAGGGGTTGCCGCTGTTTTCTTGCGCATCTCGCAGATTAAGTTTGCTGTTCTGCGAGCGGGCCGTTTCCAGTGTCCGGTAAGGTAGATGCATGTTGTGAAGTATGAATTGCGAACGAGCGACTATTGGTGTATCGTATAGGTATAACTCAGACTATGAGCAAGGAGCTGCGCGCCTACCCGCTGGTTCTCGTGGAAAAAGCAAATAGAGTAAATAGTCGAACCAAAGGTTCTCTTGGGGCGATACGTATAGCCTATCGCATAATTGCGAAGCACCGAGCAGCGCTTTGAGAGGACCAAGGATCGTACACAGCTACTAGAAGCCTGGATGTTTCGGCTTTGACCTTCAGTCGAAAGAGAAGGAAGATGAAAGACCCGAGCGAACACGCGCAGATGAATTGACGCTTATGGGCTGCGTCGTCGGCGTTGATTAGCTACAGTCGAACCAGTATCTTGGCGCTGCTGCTGCGGTCCGCAGACCTTTGCCTCTCGTTTCTTGTTTTCTCTTGTGCTGAGTTGGACAACGTGACGTGGACGCCAAGTATCTGCCTGTTTCCCTAGGTATGTAGCTCGTACGCATGTAGCGTAAAGGAAATACCGTCTCCAAGGTAGGCGGACTGCTGTCCTGGACTTGTACGACCCTAGGTTCTCTAGGAAAGAAGAATTACAAGTTCCTTGAAGGATGGGTGATCCAGGTGTGTAAGTAGGAAATCTTGGTGCTCAAAGTGTTGACCTCGACTGCCGGCCCTTATTTGAGACGGATCTTCACTTGAGCTCCAGCGCTTCTAGGTTGTCAGTCCACTTAGGTTAGGGCCGTGGGGTTGGATTTTCGACCAAGTCAGTTAGCCGACCGAGGCTGCGCGGGGGCGTAGTTATTAGGTTGGCAGCACGTTGTTAGCGCTGTACTGAATGTTGTGGTATGAGAGAGGATCCGGCAAGCTCGGACGTGGTTTGTTGCCATGGACTGGACCTTGCGATCTACAGCAAGCAGAATACCTCTAATTGAGATGACGCCTATGGAGGACAGAAAAAGTCGCTTAGGTGGACAGGCTGGATGATGGGTGGAGGTTAAGTCAAGGAAGAGGAGAAATAGTAGAGATAGAAAAAAAGAAGCGCTGGGAATTAGGTAGGGTAACCAGCCATCGGGCGCATGAGCGAGTGAGTAGAATGTATTGTTACGTGGACGGGGAAAACCAATGTCAGATTTTGGTCTCTGTCGGCTCGTGTCAAATGGCAGTGCCCAGACTGGTTGATTGACACCTTCGTCCCTCCAATGTACCTCTCCCCTCAGGTGGTCGGGGATGGAGGGACATACAAAGGTCAATGACTGGAGGGCAGAGGGAGGGCCCTATGCCCGTACGTACATACACCACATGTCTGTGCAAAAAACCCCTGCATTGCCGTCGTGGACGAGGATCACTTAGGCCCATTGCAGTGGGACAGCCGAGCGACCATAATAATAACTACGGCAACCATCTCTAACTCTACCTGCTGCTCGCTTGGAGAAGAATCTGAGCGCGCCAATCGTGATGCATGCAATGTATCTCGCTTGCAACAATGCTATTTTCACGTTCTCTTGCTTGTCACTACACCATAAAACATGTGCAACATGGTAAGTGATGTCCATAGGTATTTGGGTATTTTGTATTGCAGCTACTTGTGGTCAGCCTACCTACGCAACTCGATTCTCCATTTTTATCTTTTGCTATCGACATCCGAGAATCCGATTCGCAAATTCAAGAAAAGCCGAACCCAACCTTGAACTACTTTGTACATCCGGCATGGCAAAACCCCAGCAAGTCGTCCATATGGTTTGACGTGTCTCAGCCGAATATCCGCGAAGCATTACTTCTCCATGGATTCTCGTGACTTGGACATAATAACAGGACTAGACTATGGATACCAAAGAAAAAGAAAGAGACCCGAAAAGAACCAGCGTTATATCCAACGTCACAACGTACGGGCATGGACTTGATTGAGGCCCTGACGCAATCACGGCACTGGCCTACTAGAGGTTAGAGTGAGGTCACTGACAGCTATTTCGAGCGACCGCTACATTAGGCACATTTTAGTCTGCCTAGAAGTCCCTGCGAGCGCCCAAGTCTACCAATTAGCCTGGCGCTTAGAATACAACTGGGGTGCCTAGGTGGTGAGAGTATTTTGTTTTGACATTCATTCAGCAAGATTGTCAATTGCCAATATCAGTGAGGAGGGGGAGACCGAAGAAAGAGGAAAAGAAAATTCTTCTCGAAGGACCGAGTTGTGGCTGATTCGTGCCTAGCCTCGGCGGCGGCGCAAGCCTCATATTGACCTATGCCCGCGTTTTGCTACGACATTGCCGACAATTCGAAGGAGGCAGTGAAGCTGGAAATCCTTAGCAAGCAAGCCGCTGGTGATGAAATACGGCGTGGCTGTGCAGAATCTTTTTTCTGGGCAATACGACTACAGCTTTCGCACAAGAATATACCGCATCCTGCAATACAATCATAAATATAGTGAAACAGCTGTCATAATCATCCATCATAACAGAGACACAGGCAGACAGGGCATGAATTAACACAGAATACATGTATGATTGTTTGTTTGGCCCCAAGCTCGGAGCATCGAGGGGTTTCCCGTACCTGCAGCTCATTCAGTGGGGACCATCGGGACATAATAGTGTGAGTGGGCAATGAGTGAGACACCCGTGGATGAATGTAAAAAGCATGTCTCAGTCTCATATCAGGAACCTGACCACTCGCCTACGCCCCCAACATTTGTTTTCTCTGCAATCCGTAAAATGTGCCAATGAATGGATCCATAAGACTTGGTTTCCTTGAACGTTCTTCTTCCATCCTATGCGCATCTCGTCTGATTCTAATTCCAGCTGCGTATACTGCAGACTCGGAGCCGGACCAAGCAAACAAAAATACTACCCCGACCTACACAGAGCGATAGGGCTGAGTTGGGAGGATCCATTGATGAATAGGAACATGGTCGCATGCCCATTGTTGATAAAACTGCGCATCTCATTCTTCTTCCACAATGTGCAAATTGCACTATTCAATACAAGCAATGTAGTTGAGAGACAATTTGCATACCATCGCTACCCTGCATTTCCAGCTTTCAGATTTTGGCTGGCTGCAATAACGGGCAAAAGCACGCGCTCTGCCCGAGTCAGACAAGCCATTGAGCAAAGGCAAAGCCTCATTCGTGCATCTGACCGCGTCAGCCGATGGCCGGGGCCCTGCTGCACCAAACCCTCCATTGCAAGCAAGGCAAGGCAAGAGGAGGATGAGAGAGTGTGAACCCCGACTTTTTGACTTGAGTTGGGGGGGAGGGGGGGCGGGTGGCACAACAGCTTTGGGAGACTTGCCTCCGCCCTTTGCCCATGCGCCAAGGCTAGAGAAGAGCTGACATACAGATCCGAACTCGATAGGAAGTACCAAAGATATAAGGACACAAAGCACTAAGTATTTCGGCCATGTGGTGCGACCAGACTTACTTCAGTGCGAACCTCGACGATGGCCACCTGCAGATATGCACGAAGATAGGTAATCGGCGAGAAGCCAGCCTACCTTGCTATATACCTTGTTCATGATCCAGCAAGACCAAAAATCCCCCCCAAGTATACTCTGTACAGACGGCACAAAGATAGTATCGTTACACCTGAATCAATATGGCTGACCTCATCTGGAACGGCATACATACAACACTGCAGACCGCCGCCAAAGCCGATAATTTTGACACAGAGAACGTCATTACAATGAATTCCCTACAGGCTGCCTCACGCCTAAACTGCTAGGCAATCGCGATATTTTCAAGAAGTATAGTTTCATTGGGATCAAGTCGATATTGCTGCGAGTTTGAGGATTAGACCCCGTAGCAATGCCGTCCTTGACAGTAGTGTTGCCTTTTTTTCTTTCTTTCTTTTTTTGGATGTGTATGTATCAAATTACAAAGTTCAACCAACCATCTTAGCTTGCACATAGGTCATTGTAATATAGTTTAGAGATACTGAGAGTAACTCTCATTCTTCACAAAAAATCTGCAATTGCAATAGCAAGATTGACAAGACGAGTGTTTTGACTCCTTATCACAGTCATATTCAAAATCGAGCCTGACAGTATTATGTAATGAGGAGGCATCTCGTATATCAACACACTCGATCTTTCTTACCCAAACTTCTTTTCAAACTTCTTCAACATACCCGTGACACCTCTCTCCAACCTGTCGGCATTCTCGCCTAGCTTGCTGCGCCCTTCTGGTTTAGGTTTGTATTTGACGCCATGCTCCTGGTCCGTCGGCCGGTACGCCTGCTGGTGGATATCCCACCCGCTGCCCTGGGGTATGCCCCCGCCGAGTGGATTGCTATAGTTGTAGTTTGAGAAACCGCCGGGCGGGAGGCCGGGGCTTTGCACTGGTTGCGACTGTGCGTGAGGCGCCGGCGTTGGGTGAGCATGCGTGGTCGCTTGTGAGTTTTGCGGAGGCGGAGGCGGGGGAGAGAATCCGGGCGAGCCTGGGAATCCAGCACCATAAGGACTTGCTAGGCCTGGCGAGGCCAAGCCTGGCGATACCAGTCCTGGCGATGCCAGACCAGCCGCTGGCATAGTAGCAGATCGTTGAAGATGGCCAAACTGCGCCGGCGGAAAACCGGGACTCGCTATGCCGGGGTGGCCTCCTGTCGGTGGTCCAGGGAACCCGGGACTCAAGGGCCCGTTCGGTCCGTATCCGGGCGTGTAAGGAGGGTTATGGTCCCCTACTACCGCTGCTCTGAGAGGATCGTAGCCATCATCCTCCATGGGCGGTGGTGTCTTTTCGCGATGTCTGACCTGTTCAGGTGCTGCTGGAGCTGCTGGATTATACGCCATGGGTTGGAAATTTGCAGGCGGTTCATTTGCCCCGTGTACAGCAGCCACCGGAGGAGGCGCAAAAGAAGGTACTTCCTGGTGCCCCGAAGCAGGTGTCCCGCGTGAGCTCTCGGATATGGCAGCTCTCTCCAGCTTTTGTACCAAAGGGTTCATGTCTTGTGAGTGGGCTCTGTGTGTCTGGACAGGCGGCGGGCCGGGCTCATCCAACACTTCGACCTGGGTCGGCGGAAGGACCCTCCTAATGCCATTGACGAATTGGAGCGCATCGGCGTGCGTCCAAAAGTAGATATCGAGAGAATGGAGTTTATAATGGTACTTGTTCTCGTTTCGAGGGTCATACGTCGGCAGATGCCACTGGCTCTGATCTAATGGGGGCCCCTGTATGCCGTCGACCGTGATGCTCACGACAACCTGTTGGTTGTATGAATACCTCAATTGTGTATAGTCCAGAACTGCAGTCAAGGTGGATTAGCAAACGAACCACATGCGAATGGCCTGGAGGAGAGCAGCCACTGCTTGCTTACATCCTTCCAGAGCATCCTGATCCTCGGTACCTGGCTGATTTGCGATCTCGACACGCGCCCGCCTATCTTGTGCATTTTCGAACAGATAAACATATGATCCTTTGTCAAACCGGTGGTGTCGTGGTTTCTCGGTCGGCGGTCCATAGAAATAGTGCACATCACCAAAGCTGTTCGACAAGAAGGGTCCTGGGTCAGTCGCAGTGTCGCTTTGCGTGGGAATTTCTTCTAATTTGATAAACTCACAGGGTGGCTACATTTTCTTCACCTGGCCGAACCGCCATAGTGAGAGATCAACCAGAAGGAAGCAGCAATGTGTATGAAGAGGCGACAGGCACAGAACTTCTAATGATGAGGTAAAGAAAATGCTCAGTAATGTGGCGACTAATAACAACCCATGTGCATCACGGCGTAGAATCTGTGGACTGGAAAAACCAACAGCAGGAGTAGGTCAGAAAAAAACAAGTCAAGAAGATGCAAAGCTCCAAAATCTCTCCTCATCAGCAGCAACAATTACCATGGGCGTCTACCTACATACAGCCCAGTCATCGACCTACCCTGCTTGCCATGCTTCTCTTCTCTCCCGCCCTTCGCCCCTCCAAGGGTCCAAGCCATCAATCTGCGCATGGCGGATTGCAGTTACTCGGCGCTTACGAAGGTCCTCTGAGAGGTCTCACGGGCTGCTATGGTGGGGTTGGCAGCACTTTCAGTGCTGATCGTTGCATCCAATCGGGCGGGGAGAATTGGAGGCGTTGAAGAGATCAGACAGGGGTCTTCTGTCTTAGCGGCCGGCCGACGCTCCGGGGTGGAATCTCTAGTTGGCGAGCCCTGGGTACTTAATGTACCAATTACTACCACTGCTACGTACTGCGCAGGCCGCCCAGCCTGGACTGGAACCTTGAAAAGGTTCCACCTTAGCTAACCTAGCTCAATTCAATTCGGGTGCTGACTTTTTCCGATTTGGCCTATCCAGAATTTTGGGATTTGGGGATAGCTTCATATCAATCTGGGCATTTTTTCTGTACACAGGGGTGTTGGAAAGGAATATACCAGCGGCGCAAGAACCCTCTCGTAACGACTCGACGGAACGCACGATTATATAATCCGTGTCTACATCCGCGACATCCTCGCCATCAACTTCGCACCCATTGCTTCTAGGCCGGAAGAAAGCCAGAAACTCCCGAAGCGCAATCCCAACGCCCGCCGGACAGCCGGCTCGAGGCACCAGCTAAAACCCCACCATCGGTTGTAAACATCGCTCGGAGTGGAGGAAAAATACAAATACCACAGGCAAGATGACGCTTCAACATCTTGCACACGTGTGCTCGCACTTGCAAAACGCCTCCAAGGCGCGTCTTGGTCTGACCAGCGCGCCCTGGAACACATCGAATCTACATCTCCTCCTGTCTCTACAACGGACAGGATTCCTCTCCTTTGTCACACGCGGTGGCGCCGTGCCCCCGGACCCTGCGACGCTCAGCACGTATGAGCCCGAGCCGCTCAACAGCGCGACCGTCGCGCGCCAGCGCCTGTGGGTTGGTCTCAAGTACAGCAACAACGAGCCCGTCATGAAGACCCTCAAGATCATCTCGCGGCCGACTCGGCCAGTCACTGCAAAGCTCGAGCACCTCGAGCGACTGTCCAGAGGATGGGATTCTGGCCCGACCAGGCTCATCCAAAAGGGACTCAACCTGGGAGAATGCATGTACGTCAGCACGCCCAGAGGCGTCATGGAGATCCGCGAGGCGGTCGAGAGAAAGATGGGTGGTATTCTTCTCTGCCGAGTCTCGCCATAATTGGCTTAGTGACAACAGCATTCAACACACTAAGGAGTCGATATCAAGGAAAGAAGGAGGTCCAATCAGACCGCACCCACGATGTACCATAGCGGCAGAGCTCTGGAAGAAAAGCAAGAGTCTAGCCATCGACACGAGAGGCGAGTAGAGAGAATTATGTCCATTCGATCAGGACACACGAGACACTGGGGGGCTGCGATCGGCGGGGAATAGAGCTCAAAAAGGATCACGTTTTGTACGAATCTTGTACAACGAATATGTTCATGTATCATACACACTCAACAATGGAGACAAATCTTTCAGCACGTATATCCACCGCCATAACTTTGGCCGTGATCACAATGATACGGGAGACAGGAGTGGTATACCAGAGAAAAATGAGCGGTCACTGGAAATGGTTCGTGTCTTGTCTATTCAAGGCGATATGATGATCATGACAGGAGGTATCATTGTGTTTCTCTTCCCGCTAAAACTAAATGTCATTTACACTTTGAAGCTGTATGACTCAAATTCATCCATTCTTTTTGGACTCTTCATGCAGAGGATTCTTGGACCACGTCCTCAATATCTTCGACCTTCTTGGGGTCTGCAGCGATAGTGGGTGTAGCCTTTTCTTGCTCAATGGCCTCTACTCCCTCATTGAGGAGATTGTCCTCCGCCTTTGGCGGGAGAGCATGACCATTTGTCCCATTGGTTGCTTCAACCGGAACGGTTGCAGGCACCTCAATCTCTGCGGGAGTCGCAAGCTTGGACTCCGTAGACTCCGGAACAGCCTCCTTTGTCTCAACCTCAATCTTGACCTCCGCCTGCGATTCCGGCTCCGGTGTCGGCTCGGATGCTTCTGAGAGCGGTGCGGCTTCAGTCTTCGCCTTATCTGATACCTGGCTCTGTATCTGGGGAACGACAATTGTATCTGTCGAAGTCTTGGCCGCCTCAATAGCAACCTCTGCACTTTCCGTTTGAGCAGCTACGGGCGCTACTTCATTTGCCGAAGGCTCGGTATTCTTGGCCGCGGTTTTTGCAACGGTCTTCTTGACCTCTGACTTGGCTGTGGTTGTGTTCTTGACACTGGTGTCCTTTTTGACTATATCCGCGAGCTTTGTAGCTGCCTTCTTGGCGTTGGCCTCTCCGTCCTTATTCATCGGTTTCTTTGCCGTACTGGTAGTGACCTGTTTCCGAGGTGGAGTGATGGGCACTTTGTCAGCAGCTTTGCTAGCACTACTCTGCGTTGGTCGCATCATACGGGCTAGGAAGCCCTCGTCCACAGGAGCCTCTTTGCGGGTTGGAGGATGATCCTTTGCCTGGGTCTTTGGTGGTAGTCCCAAACTTGGCCGTGCTCGGTTAATAGTTGAAGCTTGACGTCTGAGGGTCTTTGCAGGGGGTGCAGTCCCTGCAGGCGAGACGCCGCTGGCTCTACTGGCTGGTCTGTTGGAGACTGCTGGAGCCCTTGTGTTGTTGGGCTCTCTAGAAAGAGATCGCCTTGGAGGAGGGACACTGCTGCCAAGCTTGGAGCTGGAAGCAGTCGTGGGCGCGAGGATACTCGATGGCACCTTGGTTGGCCGAGTCGGCGATTTCACCTTGGGCTTGACGGCTTCAGCTGCCGGCGACAGGTCTCGCGCACTAGTCTTTTTGCCCGAAGGCTGCGGCTTCAACGCTGCGTTTCTCGAAGTGCTCTCTTTGGGAGCGGTGGAAATTGGCTTCTTTTCTGGGACCTTGCCTGTCTCTTGGGTTGACCCTTTGGCAGGGCTTCTTGGTGTCCGGACCGCGGAGGGGGATCCCAATAACCGGGAGGTCGTCTTGGTAGATGCTGGTGTAGGAGAAGTTGCTTCTACCGGTGGCTTGCTCGCAGGACTTGTCTCTTGTATTTGCTCCTTCACCTCCTCTTGTGCCGCATCTTCCACCTTCTCATTTGGTTCTGATGTTCCATTGGACTCGCTTGGTGTGCTCTCAGCAGTTTCATGGACTGTAGGATCAGCTGCTGTGAGTTTGGTATGCGTCTCCTCCTCGTCCACGATCTTGTCGGGGTTTGGTCCATGAGTGATCTCGGGCGTCTCAGTGCCCTTCTTGGGCGACAGTTTGGCAGATGAATCGGCTACAGGCGATTCTGGAATTGGCTCAGTGGCCAGGTTTGTTTTAAAAGCGGACACGTTCTTGGCCATGTTTTCCGTAAAAGGATCGTTCTTGTCTTGTGCGGGTGCTGTCGTGGAGTTGTCCGTCTCGTTGCTCAACCTCCTACTTGAGGCGGATATGGAGTCTCCACTGGGTTCTCGTCGCAACCCTACCCGACCGTCCTTTTCAAAGGCAACAAAGTTTGTGCGTACTTTCGACAGCGGGCGTGAGGGTGGTGTAGGTGAACCTGGTAGCAGACAAGGTTCGAGTTAGTAATGCAATGCAAAGTATAGTTTTGTGAATAAATCTGTCTTGGACGGTTGCTAATAGGATGACGTGCAATGGCGGTAAAATTATGGAGCTTGTGACGTGAGTCTCCTACATGGGCAAAGGAGATGTTGTGATGGCCAGAAAATATTGGTCATATTGTGCAAATGCTAAAACAAATAAAGAAACTGCTATCATAGAGGGAGCAGGAAGTGGGAGGAAGTGAGAGGAAGCGATAGGAAGGCGGAGGAAGGCGTTGAGCATACCGAGGGATGAATTGCCGGGACCAGGAGATCTACCTCTATCTGGCGGGCTGTCGCCTGGTTCATTCTTTTGCTCGAACATGGCTCGAAGATTCTTGACGCCCGACATGTTTGCGGTTTGTTTGCTGCTGTTGCGGCAAGTGCAAGCTCTTTAGAAAGGGAGAATTGGCGATGTTTCGATGGGTGCGTAGATTCCCCCAGAGAGAGGCGCAGGCCGAATTCTAGGAAAGGTAATTGTTGCCGGCCACTGCACACAATGCGCTATGCGCGAGTTGTCACCGATGGGAGGAGCGAGGCTCGATTTGAGAGTTGAGTAGCATTCCTCACGATGAGCGGACACGTCGAAGGATTGCCTGTATCTGTGCACTTGTCGGTGTACTGGAAAGGTGCAGAGATCAGATCTAAACAATAGAGATGCGTTTTTGTTTTGTTGCGTTTGTCGGGTTCGTGTAGTGTTACGATGAAGATGTACCTGTTTGCGCGCCGAAATAGCTTAGACCAGGGGCCAGTAGGGTAGCTTGCAGTAGCTAGCCGGCTCGGAGCTTTGACGCAGTGCACGCCTTCGGTTATGTAGGTACCAAACGTCGTTCTTGAGGTGTGTGTACTTCGTACGTCGTACGTAGGTAGGTACTCTGTATACTTTGTAGAATTGATTGCGTGGCTGAACTTCAAGGATATCAATCGAACCACCTGTCAGTCAAGTGATGCGAGGGATAGAGTTGAGTTGTGATCCTGTGATCACCGGGCAACAAGACAGTTATAAAATTACTGAGGTGCTGAGACGTGAATCTGGAGGTTTATGCGATCGCTGTCAGTCAGTCGGGGTCCAACTTATTAATCTCGAGGATCCCCCCAAGCAAAGTGATGGTGGTGGGTTGCTCCCGTCCCCCAGGGTTTCGAAATTGCCTTATGTTAGGCAATTATTTCCCACGTCTTTAATATTGTAATTTCAGGGGCTCCAGGAATTTCATACCTTATGGGATGGGCGCAGAGGTCGATAGGTAGTAGGATGTCCTATCCTGTAGGTCTCTGTGACTGCTGCCAGGCCGTTTTTAGGTAGGTTGATTGGGATGGATGGGTGATGTGTTGAGGTCATTAAGCTCACGACTTGCCAGAGCTACCTAGCACGCCAATGAACTAGTAGAGACCGCGTGCTTAGGTAGAGAAAGCCGAAATGAATGTTCATGTGCTTTTCGGGTCGTTGCAATTTACAAGAGTCAGTCAAAGAGGGACCTGATTTGTGTGCTGAAAATATTGCCGCAGGCGCTGTCAATGACAAGACTGAGGAAGGACTGGCAAGCTGCTTTTCTTGCTTGCTTTCCTGCCTGGCAACACTCGTTACAGATGAGGGGACTGTCATATACGACGTAACCACGGAATTCTGGATCCAAAGTGGGCACTGTTGTTTACCTGCTCCATACGATCACATAAGGCTCATTGGTGCACCGGGGGATGGAGACGCTGGGCAGACGGGCATGATTTGACGATCTTCCAGAACGACTCCCGCCGCAGGAGCTCGCAAGCGGCCCCGTCGCTATAGATTAGGGAACGCAAGACCCTCAAAGACCCTCTTGGACAGGGTCTGCATTGTCGGTTTCAAGTTCATGGCACTTTCTCAGATTTTCAACTGCCAGTCTGGCCCATTGTTCCATCTCTGATGATTTCTCGGGTTAAAACAATTGTGGATAGCTTTTGGATTATACTTGTCTCAGTGCGTTAAACCGTTACTCGTCCATACACAATGAATGGACAAACATGTGATGCACATGGATGTCAGCTACCAAAGGCCGGGAAGACACTTTATAAACAAAAGGATATTTATCTAGTACAGATTGCCCATGTAAGCTGCACATTACACCTGTTTGCCAGGTTACTTGCATTGCAGTTTGTCGAGAGCGTGAATGGTAGGCGGCTATATGGCAATTGCTTACTACAACCATAGCCGAATTCATGCCAAAACTCATCGGTTCCAGCGTCACTCATGTGCAAGTCATTTTACCCCTTCATTCGATGCTGACGAAGGAAGCCGTGCTGACTTTGCAAGTGGATAGAGGAGACATACCATGACCTCGAATCTTACCCTCATGTTCTCTGGTAACAGGGCGCACACTTTGCTCTCTTCAATCCAACCAGCAGATGAGCAGGGCTCCGGTTACGGGGATTCGGTTCAGAAAACGCCCTAAGCATAAATCCCCGCTAAACTGAATCCCGTCAGCCATTGGGGCCCGAGGTCGCTGGAAATTTTAGCTACAGTCGAGCTTTGCTGCATTTCACCTGCCTTTCCACCACGGATTGAGATTGAGCTTGGGTCTCAGCACATTAGCAGCAGCATCGCAACCATGTCTTCTCGTGTCCTCAGAATTGGTGAGTTACCTGCCACTACCGGATCGACCTCAATTGGGCCATAGCTGCCTGCCAATTCCTCCTCCTACTGACGATTTTGCGCTCCCAGGTCTTATCCCCGGTGACGGTATCGGCCGTGAGGTCATTCCGGCCGGTCGTCGTATTCTCGAGGCCCTGCCCTCTTCTCTCGGCCTGAAGTTTGAGTTTACCGACCTCCAGGCTGGTTTCGAGACTTTCGAGAAGACCGGTGCCGCCCTGCCGGACAAGACCGTCGAGGTACTCAAGAACGAGTGCGATGGTGCTCTCTTCGGTGCCGTGTCCTCGCCCTCCAAGGCTGTCAAGGGCTACAGCTCGCCCATTGTTGCCCTTCGCAAGAGATTGGACCTCTACGCCAACGTCCGTCCCGTCAAGACTGTCTTGTCCGCCCCGAACCCCATCGACATGGTGATCGTCCGGGAGAACACTGAGGATCTGTACGTCAAGGAGGAGAAGACCTACGATGGCCCCGATGGCAAGGTTGCCGAGGCTATCAAGCGCATCTCCTACAAGGCTAGCTCCAGAATTGCCACCATGGCCGGTGAGATTGCTCTGAGACGTGAGAAGATCAGACAAGCTGGTGCCCCAAGCATCCACAAGTCTCCCCTCGTCACAATTACCCACAAGAGCAATGTCCTGTCCCAGACCGACGGCCTTTTCCGTGCCACTTCCCGAGAGGCTCTTGCCGCCGCGAAGTTTGCTGGCAAGGTTGAGGTTGAGGAGCAGATTGTCGACAGCATGGTTTACAAGCTATTCCGCCAGCCTGAGGCCTACGATGTCATTGTTGCCCCTAACCTGTATGGTGACATCTTGTCTGATGGTGCTGCTGCCCTTGTCGGTTCTCTTGGTCTTGTTCCCAGCGCCAACGTTGGTGAGGGTTTCGCCATTGGCGAGCCTTGCCATGGCAGTGCCCCTGACATCATGGGCCAGGGAATCGCCAACCCTATTGCCACCCTCCGCAGCACCGCGCTCATGTTGGAATTCCTGAACGAGGAGGAGGCTGCCGCCAAGATCTACGCTGCCGTCGATGCTAACCTGGAGGAGGGCAAGCTGCTCAGCCCTGACCTTGGTGGTAAGGCCAAGACTGATGAGGTTGTCGAGGACATCCTCAGGAGACTGTAGATACCCGGCTAGATAAAGATGTATGATATTTACGTTTTGTAGACGGATTGGATACCAAGGTAGATAAGAAAAACAAAAGCGTTGTTTTGCCGGTAATCACTCTGCATCTTCCGACTCTTGACTCTTGCATTTACTTTAGTAAAATTCCGGCTCGTGATGCAATTTTCTCCATGTTCCAACCTCTGCATCCTTGGGTTTACTAATCGAACCATCATTCAAAAACTCTTCAATAATGCTGTTGAACTTCTCGGGGGCTTCCCAAAACATAAAGTGACTGCCACCCTCGTCTTTCTTGATGATGGCAATCTTACAGTCGGTAGTTTGTTCTCGGATCCAAGCCCCCGTCTCCAGCGGAAACTGGCCTCCTTCAGCACTGATGACCAACACGGGCATATCCAGCTGTGGTATGACTTTTCGCCAGTCCTGAGAAGCATGATTTCTCAAAAGTTGCAAGGCAATGTTCTTGGGACACTTTTCGTTTTGCGACAAGAACCAGGCCAGATCCTCCTCTGTAACCTTGTTCGTGAACATGCTTTTGATGGCCGCCGGTATCATTGTATCGAATACTTGTGGGAGCTGATTCAGCACGTCCTGAGTGAAGATGGCACCATAGTTTCTGATCTGTGCGTCACTCCAGCTTGGATCGATCAACATGCATGGAGCTTGATCTGCAATGACAGCCTTGTGAATGTGATGCCTCGACTCGGGATGAGTCTTCCAAAAGGCCCAAATGACAGAAGCCCCCACGGAATGACCGACTGCTGTGCAACCTATAAGACCGAGAGCATTTATGAGGTCATTTAGATCTCTTGCGAGGAGGCCGACAGTATACTCAGATGCTGGCTTCTCCGACTCTCCATGACCGCGATAATCGAACGTTGTGACGCGGTGTCTGGCGTGGAAATACTCGACTTGCTTCCCCCATTGAGCTGCGGTCTGTCGCCAACCTGGTAAGAAAAGAATGTTTGCACCCTCTAAAGGGCCCATCTGCGTGTAGCTGATTTGCGTTCCATCTCTTGTCGTGATCAAGCCTTTACTTGCCATTTCCAGGTTGATGGAGAATGGTGCCAACATCAATTCTGGATAAACTTTAACAGGCGAGGGGAATCATAACTGTAGTATTCCAGCCAAAGACGCTAAATTATCATCTAAAATGCTTAATTATCTTGCAATTCAGCTTGCAGTACTATGGTGGTTTTTAAGGGCGTCCATGAATTAATTATAAAGCGTGACCTCACCACAATGCTGTTAGACGTGACGGTATGCTGCGATCCAGAACAGAATCCATCAATTCGACTCATCTCATGTGTACAATACGTCAAGACATACATGCATTAGGAATCATATGCTAATCCAGGTCTTTTGAGCAATTATATCCGTAATACACTTTATCGCAGCCTTCGAGCTGCCAGCATACATCATGGTTTACCACGAGCATGCGTAACTCGGCTTCTCACTCAGGACGAAGTTGTACTCTTAACAATAACGACGCGTCCAATGCAAGTTGTTCGCACAACGACTGATACAAGGAAGATGACTCGATATATGGCGATCAAGACGCGACCCGAAAAATATCGCGAGAAATGCGAATCCGTGATACACAATGCAATAGCAGAGTCGCTATGTCCAAGTTAGTCACATAGCCCCACCATATTGTCACTGTCGCCTTGGCTATGCACGAAGCTTCAGGGATTCCGGAAAAAGCACGCCATTCCGTAAGGTCACGAGCAATTGGCGATGCCAGTGGATGATGCCTTGCCGTCTACGGCGGCATACAGGGTTGAGATCGGGTTTGCGGGGAAGACATGAAGCCGGCCTTGAGGAGACGATGGGCTTTTCGCATTGACTACCGATACTTCACATGCTCGATTAATACCCCTAAAATGTTCCGTGTAACTTTTCCCGTCCCCTCTTTGCCCAAGTCCAGGGACCAGTTGAAGGATATAAGGCTGCCTCGGAACCATTGGATCAACATGGCGCCTTTCTAATTATCCCACTTATTTACTATATCATAGCGCTTCTGATATAGTCAACTGTGTCAACCTCGATATCATCTGAGATGGGTAGGACTAGGCATTGGTCCCTCTGGTCCGCCATGAGAATTTCTTATTTCCTTGCATCGGTCCTGCTCGCTGCCAGCACCTTTGCGGCGTCTGCCCCTGGCAATAAACCTAACATAGTTTTCATATTCACTGATGATCAAGATTACCATCATGACTCACTAGAGTATATGGAATCACTACAGAAACACCTTGTGGCCAAAGGAACATTGTTCACCAATCACTACGCTACAATAGCGGTTTGCTGTCCAAGTCGCGTATCTCTAATGCGCGGTCAGGCGGCGCACAACACAAATAATACTCAGGTGGCTGCCCCTGGGTAAGCTCTAAACCCCTTGATTCTCTTGACCGCTGTCATGTACTCACGATCGTTCAACAGCGGTGGCTATCCCAAATTTGTCGCCGCAGGCGAAGATAGCAACTATCTCCCTCATTGGCTTGTACGAGCGGGATACCGTGCCGAATGTATCTTCCCAGATCGTCCCGCTTGACTGAGGGAAGATGTAGAACTGATCATTTTCAACAGATATTGGAAAACTCTACAATGGAAATTCTTTGCTCAACTACTCTCCAGCACCAAAGGGGTGGAGCCACATTGATGTTCTTGTAAGTGTTGTCGTGATTACGGCCCATATCAATGACGAACTGACCATGATGGAGCTTGACCCCTACATCAACGTTCACAACAGCGTGGTCATGTCGCAAAACGGAGAGACGCCGGTGTATTATGAAGGTTGGCAGCAAACGGACGTATTGCGCGTCAAGGCTCTAGCACGACTGGAAGAGCTCACAGCGAAAGAAGATCCCTTCTTTCTCATGATTGCGCCAACTGCACCGCACGTGGAGAATGCCACAGATCCGCCGACACCTCCATCACGATACCTGGACAAGTATTCTAACCTGACATTACGATATCGGCCAAACTTCAATCCGCCAGACGAGTTACACCAAAAGAGGCCTTCTTGGTGGGCTGGATTGCCACGCCTGAATTCAACGCAGCTGGACGAGGTTCAAAAACTGCATCAGCGTCGACAAGAAGCGCTTGAGGGGGTCGACGATATCATTGAAGACACTATTCGTGCCCTCGAGCAGGCTGGAAAGCTGGAAAATACGTACATCATTTATTCCACCGATCAAGGCTATCACTTGGGGTCACATCGAGACGTCGGAAAATGTTCGCCGTATATTGAGGATGCCAATATTCCCCTTATTGTACGAGGTCCTGGAATCAGCGAGGGCCAAGTATCCCATCTCCCGAGTACTGTGACGGACTTTGCTCCCACCTTTCTTGATATTGCTGGATTGGCGATCGGGGACCGACCTCCATTCCTTGACGGCACCAGCATGCTGGAAGCATGGGAAGACCCATTGAACGTGACAATCGGTCGTCAAAAGGAGGCTATTAACGTAGAATTCTGGGGACGAGCCTTTTCCGAGATTCCAACGTGGACCGGCGGTGACAGCTACCCAGGAGTCTACAGGAATAATACGTACAAAACGATGCGCATCGTTAGTGACTCGTATGCATACGTCTACTCGAGTTGGTGCACCGGGGACATCGAGCTATATGACTCGGTTCACGATCCTTATGAGTTGAGCAACATTGCCGATTCGACAGACGTCAACTACCAGCGGGTAAAGTCACGCTTAAACGCATTGCTGATGGTCACGAAATCGTGCGAGACAGATATTTGCCGAGATCCATGGAGCGTCATTCAGCCTCCCAATGCGGCACCCAAGAAGATATCCAGCTTGGGCGATGCTCTGGACCCGGCTTACGATGATTTCTTCTCAACATTCCCTCGAGTCACCATTGCCGAATGCGTACAGTATCAATTTGCTCCAAATGAAGTTCCATTTTACCCACCCGAGGCACAGAGTGGACTGGGTCTGGCATTCAGAAACGAGCCCCAGTACTATGAGTATCCAGACGTTAAACCAATCGAAAAAGTTCCATATATAGCTGGTGGAAGTTGGGAACAACGACACGCAACATTTGATATGCTTGTCGCTGCCGGGAGAGTACTGAGTGCCAATGAGCTGCAACAGGCTTGGAACCAGACGACTTGCAGCGAAGGACAAGTATGTCAAGAGCAGTGGCCATAAAGCTGTCTATGAATGAATCCGATTTTCTTAATTTGCCTGCATAATTCTTAGCAGACGATTGATTAAAGATCAGTGCCACACGCTTCGCTTTATGATTGGTTTGTTGAAAGTGAACTAATATACATTGTTTATATATCATTTAATTTTGTCTTTCTTTCTATCTTGTTCTCATTGCATTTTCCTTTTTCTGTTTTTGGGAACAAATCAACGAGGGGGCAGTGCGGCGTAAAGTTGAACTTCAACGGCGGAACGGACTTTGAGATCGAGTCCCGGAGCCCCGTTGGACGCTCCGGGTTCCTATCCAACTCCATAATAAGCAAGGATGGCGCAATCCTTCGAAGGCCAAGCCTGACTGATGATATTATATTATTAAATGAAAGTAGCTGTAGTAGATGCATTTGAAATGGAGTATAAGTTCAGAACGTTTCTCGTGCAAATCCGGTCTCTGTTGCTAATCATTTCTGTCTTACTGACTCTACCTATCTGTTTATTGAATTTCAAACCGCGGACTAATATCGCACACGATGCATTGCAAGAATTCATTGTTGAACTTAGCAATCCTTACCACTTTGACTATCGCCAAGGGCCAGACAGATTATCAACCATGCCCTCTGCTCCGAGCATACTACCCAGCACCCAATCTGGACAAATCCTCTGATGCAGTCCAAAACTTTGCACAAGAATTTACGAGTGTATTCGACAGTCTAATCGAGTCCAGCGGTAGCGATGATTTTGGCGCCATCACGCCCAACACAACCTCATTCTCAGTAGTGCTGTTCTCGGGGAGCGACTCTGCTGGAGATGACCCCATCATATTCGAGTATCACCATACAGCAACACGCTTGGAGACGGCAGAAATTGTCACTGCACAGACAGTGTTTCCCATTGGCACGCTCACACAGCTATTTACTGTCTATGCTTGGCTCGTCGTGACAGCTGATGGATCTTGGGCCTCACCAATCACCGAGTTTCTCCCTGAACTCAAGCAAAAGTCTCCGAGCACTTCTGGATATGACATTGACCTCGTAGTCGACTGGGAATCGATCACTGTTGGAAGTCTTGCATCCCACATGTCAGGCCTTGTACGAAACTGTAAGCCGCGTTCCTTTTCGTTTCCCTATGACACTTTTGGTAGTTGAAAAATGCGAGCCTCCACTGACCAGGACCAGCGGACGCCTGCAATTTGGTGGAAGCTTGCGATAAGCAGGCATTTGTGGAAGCAATTTCCGTCCAAGTACCATATTTCCTCGCCGACACCACGCCAATCATCTCAAACGCTGCGTTCCAACTCCTGGCTTATGCCATTGAGACTCGTTCCGGACAATTGTTTTCAGATTACCTTGCAAAATCGATACTCGAACCTTCAAACATGACCCAAAGCGGACTTCTCAGAGCAGACACACAGGTGTTTGGCGATAGCCTCAATTTCACGGCCACCGGCGAGCAAGCTGCCCTGTCGCTCTATACAAGCACATCGGACCTGGCCAGGGCTGGACACGCGATGTTGTCCTCACTCCTGGTGACCCCAGACCAGACCCGCCGTTGGCTACAACCCGTGTCCGACACATCAAACCTGCGTAATGGCGTAGGTCGGCCATGGGAGATCTATCACGCAGGCAAGTATGCAAACTCTTCGATACTCGACGTGTACACCAAGACGGGCACCCTCAGGCGCTACAGCAGCTACTTTGGACTGGCCCCCGACTTTGACGCCGGGTTTGCGATCTTGGCTCATGATATTGATGGCAACCCGGACCTCAACGTCTACGCCGACGTCGTTTCCCTCGCTTTACTGACGCTTGCGGAACTGGCTTCCAAGGAGGCGGCGGCCATGTTTGCGGGAGAGTACGCTGCCAGCAATGGGAGCAGCTATGCGGTGCTCAATGTTACGGATGAGGGACCCGGTCTTGTGGTCTCGCAGTTTGTGGTCAACGGATCGGATATCAGAAGCGAGGCGGCCGTTAGGACTGGGATCGAGATTGAGAATTTGGATATGCGGCTGTACCCTAGCAACGTGGTCAGCGGAAGCTTACGTCAATTTGTTGCGGTGTTCCAGGATAGAAGTGCGCTTGTCGATATGGGAACGCCAACTTGTATTACGTGGATGGACGTTGGGACACTTCAGGGCATTCCTACGAGGTACATAATCGAGGTTGATGACAGTGAGGTGGCAGTAGGCTTGCGGATACCTGACAGGCAAATTCGATTGGAGAAGAGCTGAGAATGGTGGACCATTGAATACTCTATAGTACCGCTGGACGTTACAGAAATCATAATCATGTCACGTTGAATAGAAATGTGGTTTTTTTTTTCTTTTCGGATATGCGAGTCTATCTATAATCTGGCCACTTTCTGTTGAGAAGAATGGGACATGCTCAAGAGACTTGGCGCAAAATTCTGGAGCATGATGGATATACAGATTAATGTCCATTTTTTCATGTCCTGAAATAATTTGCATCTTGATGAGCTCGGTGCTCAGTCAAAAGAAGATATTTGAAATACAAACGACCTCGGCATGTCTCCTTGGACAATTTTGGGAATGATGAGGGAAAGACACAATGGATGTAGTAGAGCATGGCACAGAAGATTCAAGTATCTTCCGTCTCGATGTAGCAATGCTGCAAGATGCCGATGGCACTTCCGTCAAAGTGGCAGGATTGTACTTTTAACGCGCCACCGCCTGAGCCGTCAAGTTTCACCGAGGCTTTCTGGATTGCTCCTGAGCCTTTTGAACTCCTCCACCCTAAGGTCTCATGGAGTCAATGAGACGATCGGGAGGATACATTGCAGGCAAAGTCGGCTGAGGGCGGGCGCGAAGCATAGCCTCCTGGTCACCATTGAACATGGACAACTGGTGTTCAAAGAAACCTAGTAGGTCTATGGGCTTAAGCTCATGATACAGAACCTGGTCCTTGCCAATCCAAGCCCAGCCGCGAGGCGTGCTGGGGCTCTCGCTCCATGTAGCCACAACGGCAGACTCCAAAGAACGACCCTGGACGTGTCTCAAGACGATGGCTTGAAGACGTTCTATGGCAAAGGCCTCCGAGACGTCACGACAACAAAGCTCCCTGGCACACCAGAGCTGCCAGGCGATACGCTGAATTTTCCGACGATGAAACTTTTGCTGAGCTGTCAAGTCGCGTAGGTCAGCGTCGAGGTGCAGGTGAGCTGGCATGGTTTCCTTGGAAAGGAAATCGCAGACCCCCTCATTGATGGTTTGGGCATAATGGTTAGGATCAAAGATCTCGCCGCCCTGGAGGATAATTCTCGGGGGCTTCTTGGGTGCCCATGCCGGCCGCTTGAGGTACAGGTGACCTCCGTCGTCAATGCCCAGTTGTTCATCTACCATCATCTCGTTGGACAGATTGAGCCAGTCAAAGGTCATGGGTGGGAGTTTCTCGTTGCGGGTGCTGCTGAGCTTGCGCGCATCATCCTTGGACATCTGTTGTCCGTTGTAAAGCTCGCCAATAGTAACCTGAATCGGTGTCGAGTCTTTCGGAGGACTGAGCTGGGGTTGGTACACAATCGGAGCTTGGGACTGGTAGCCCATGTCTGAATTTCCTGTGCCAGCTTGACCGTTGTTTGGAATGTTGGAAACCTCACTGGTCGGATTCTGACGATCTGCAGGAATAAGTGACATGAGCTGATGAACGGCGTCGTTCATTTGGGACGAGCGGCGAAGCTCTGGGTGAGCTAAGAGAAGAGAAGTCAGTGGGAGTCTGATTGAACATGTGGCAAAGAGAAGGAAAAAGATTCTTTGGACAGAGGCATCCGGAAAAGAAGTCCATACCTCTATACAAGGTTTCAATAATACCAGTAGCTTGTTGGAAGGGTCCAAGGCGGGAGGCATCTTGACCACCCTCGGATGATGCAGATTGCAGTTCATGAGGACTGGGCTCTGGTAGAGGACCGGATCCGTATCCGTGAACAAGGGCTTGCTGTTCGCGGATAAATGTAGCAACTTGGCCGCCGTTCTAGGGCTGACTAGACGCTGCTCCCATTGTATCCTGGCCGTCCATAGCTGTCGGATTGGAAGTATTATGATACTGTGAGATGGAGGCGAAATTGGACTGCGATAAATCGTACTGGCTCGGCCGAGTCTCGTCAATGGAAGAATTCTGGGCCTTGGACGGGCGACGGGCGCGAGAAGAGGTTTTCTTGTTCTTTTTATTCTTTCCTCGACGTTGGTGAGGTGCCTGCTGGCTTTGTGCACTGGGCTGAGGTGTAGTCAATTCAGTCGCGACCGACAGCTGGGATTGGAAGTACTGGGGATCGGGCTGCTCTGAGGTATTCGGACCTGCCGCATGTAGCCCAGGAGTTTCAAAACCTTGCATATCGTCGTGATGCTCTCCCATGGTGACAGCGGGGCCAGATGACGGTCGATGAAGGTCTAGGGGAGAGATGAAACCTTGTTCAAGAAGAGCCTGTTTGAGAAAGGGTGGTGTTGCGGGGTGGGGATGGTCGCCTTGAGCGAGTTCTTCCAGATCCTCGAAAGGATGAAAGTTCTGGCCGGGTAAGCTCTGCCGGGTGCAAGAGAGCAGCTCGAATGTCGAATCTGTTGGATTGTCGCTTGCAGATAGAGTTTGGACCAAAGGACTAATGGGAGCAGTTCGGTGTAGTTGAAGAGCAGAATTCCACCGAGCTTGTTGTTTCTCTGGATACGTGGGGCGAAGCTCTTCAGAAAGATCTAGAGAGGGGCTGACGCTTGTCTGACCACCAAGAGCTCTAACGCGCAAGTCTTGATCTTGGGTAGCAATGGCCTCAGGCATCTGCTGGGCGTGGCCGCGGGCTGCCAGCCCTGACACTGATTCTGACAAAGCGCCAGCCAGCTCTGAATGGTCGAACATCTTCAGAAATCGTGATGGTGCGGCGAAGCAGCTTCCCGGACTGCACAAGATATGCAACTAGCCCTCATAATACCCCAGAATACCCATCTGAGGTTGCTTTTCTCTTCTTTTGTGATTATTACCGCAGAAGTCTGATGACCGTGGTCTCTTGACTGTCTGAAGTTAATAATGGCAGTTGGTGATAATGGATAGAAGGTGAGGAATGAAGACGGAAGTGAAGTGGGCTTCGAATTTGGAATGTCCAGGGATTGTTGATGAATACAGACAGCCTGAGCCTGCCACTTGCGGATTTTTCTGCTGCTGAGGTTTTTCAGCTGCCAGCATCGCCTAAGGAAAGTCCCATGGCTTGACGAAGGCCTCTTGAGACGAGCAAGAGGCCATCGTCGCCTCCGCGGGGGGGCGGTTGGCTGGGCCATGATAACTCGCCCGTGTATCAAAAGCCACTGGGAGAGACATGTACAGTATCTTAAGACCATTTCTGCCAGTACGGACATTATAAATCGGTTGAATTAGCTAACAAGGCGGCGCACTGATTCTGAGTATCTATGGATAACAAATATGTCAATATTGAAACCAATCTTTCATGCTTGATATGAACTGCTGCGGGCTGATCAGGCTCTTTCATCTCATTGTCTTCTGAGAAAAATTAGCACATAATCGCCGCTGCGAAGCAATGTGCTTGTTGTAGGGACGCTTTCTTGCGTAGAAGAAATGAGATAGTTCATTTTTATTCACAGTGTCAGGCAGGTAGCATCTACAGATCTGAACCACGCGGGTGAGTCTAGAACAAAAGAATCATACTTGCCCATGTGATTCCGTTGACGCGTTCATGAAAATGCTAGCAAATAGTCAACGTAGATCTTGATAGGATGATTGAGTGCCAAATGCAGCTGATTTGATAAATCTAATCATAGCTGCGGTTGCAGAGGACTAAGTATGGATGATATCTTAGGTCATGTGGTAAGGCCACCATCCAGGTAATTTATTATGGCCCTTACTCAACTTATCAGGAGCGGACCTTTGATGTGGCACATTTGTGAGGATCATTTTCTGTACTCGGGGCGTGAGCATTAAGCCAGCTTTTCATGGGGCAAAGTTCAGCAGGCACGGTATTGGACTTTTGAATTTATTGACGAGTAAGTTTAGATGGATACCTACTATACCTGCAAACTGGCCAAGTGACTGGAACAGTATATCAAATAATGAACAAAATGTGCATCCTTTGCGTAGCACGAGCGTATTGCCTGAGATGGTCACTGAAGATTAACTCCTCTTTTCTGCCAGTAAGCAAATTCATTTCTGATGCTATTTTGCCCCCCGCCAGCAAACCTCAGTGCTCAGAGCATATGCTGGTAGTGATTCGGATTTGGTTGAACTACCTACTCATTTGGACAAAGATAGCCTTGTCCGGATGTGTAATGAGTGAATGGGAATTCTAATCAGATTCAATCGCTCTTTCATACCACAGATACAGTGTCATGTATGAGTGACTTTCTGCAGCACTCCAGAATTACCTGCTATCATGTCATTGACTGATAGGTACCTACTAGGTACGTATGTAGTCAACCATGGAGTGTGTTGGAGGCTGATACTGGTCACAACCCAAAGATGAGGCCATTCCGTCCCGGAGGTCGCATAATTTCCCTCCGTCTTGTCAAGAATCATGATCATACAAAATGTCTGTCAAGTGGAGCTACGGTACCTGGAGTAAGTGTTCTTGGCAAATCCACGGCAGCCAACGAAAAGAAAAGGACAAGGAAAAGAAGAAAAGTTCGACACCAATAGTGGATGCATTAGCGGAGCAGATCGTCCGTATCCGTGCCACCGAGCCTGCACAACGCAGAGAAAGAAAGCTGCATTGGCTCCGTAAGAAGTATCAGAGTGGGGGTGAGAGGATGGTAAGGGTCAGGAAGCCATGGCGATCAGCTCGACCACAAAGCAAGCACTCGAGACGTACATACGGGGAGAATAAGTCAGAGACGAAATAGGGAACTGAAGGGGTTTTCTACCAGGATAGTAAAGAGCGAGAAATCATCTACTACTACAATGTAGCTCATAATATACCTACTACTGCTCAACCTAAGCATATCTAGGTAGATAACCTAATTGTCCAGAGCCTCCACTGATATTGCCGTGTGGGTAATGCCGTCTGAACAACCAAGTGACATTGCCGTTGACAGTTGGACAGTGACAGGCAAAAGGAGCCAAGCACCAAGTTGGTACCTTGTACACAGTAGAATGCAACTCGGCCGCGGAGCATTTGCAGCACGTCTTCGACCCCACATGCACTATCGAGTTCTTTCTCCGCTGACCTGGACCTCGACTAGGTAAAGCCCTGCTACTACCGTAAGTTACAGGTGCGATCTGGGTGGTTGGCTCTTCAGGAAGGCCTTCAATGTTGTTCCTCTGAGGGCTGTTGAAAGGTATGGAAGTAATAGAACGAGGAAGAACATCATAGCACTAGGCTAGTTGGGTACTACGTCAATTTCAAGTGCTTGTATTGGCATCCCCAGAGATTATGCGCCTTCCTTGCATATGCCGTCTGGACGCTCTGCAGTTGATGGACGTCAATGGCGCACAAAAATCAAGATCCCGCACCCAGCATCCTCGCAACCACTAAAGTAGGTCGCAGTACATGTGGATACTACATTAGTTAGGTCGGTGTAAGGCCCCCCCCCCAAACTAAAGGTGCAAGTTCACCCCAGGTGAACAGCGTAAAGGATTAGGCCTAAACGGCCAGTGGTCACCATTGGCGAATTATTGATAACCTTTTGCCATTTTTGTTCTTCCTTTGTCTTCTCTAGTGCCCCAGTACCTGTTGAGAATAGGTACATAGTTTTGATGCGGCTCTCAGAACTTACGAGATCGCGTTTTGTGCAGTAAATCGCCAAAAACGTTGGCACACTATTGTACTACCTTGACCCTAGATAAGTAAGCACCCGAAGGTGTGTTGGGTGTCCCTCATTAGCTCTGTTCCGGGCCGTCATTAGGTCATGGTAGATGGCACATAAGCATGACCGTATTCCTGCATGCAGTTCTATTCCGCACGAGGCATGTATTTTTCAGGCGACACGGGCAGCTGGAATATACACCGCACCTATCTCTTCAGCCAACCGGGGCACCCAGCCAGTGACAGGTCGATCTCACATCAAGATCCCACCGTGAGTGGCATCCAACAACAGGTACCGCGGACACCTACACAGCATGTAGGTACGTTGATAGGTTGTAGGTATGGATAGGGCCCCGTAGGAACTCTACCATAGCGTCCACTCAACTTCATGGTTAGAATCCATGCAAAAGGCCCATCCCCCATTTCCAGCTGCCGCTGCCGCCACGTTAGCAAGCAGGCACTCGAGGCAATAATTTATCTCCCCGGATGCAACAATCGGCAGCCTGTTGAGTCTTCCCCAGGCAAAGGCAACCTGTGCCGCCAGCAACGGATCCGTGGTGCTTCCTACCACCGCCACCTTCTAGAATACTTCCGATTACACACACTACGGCCCGGACGAGATACTAGGGAATGCAGTCTGTTATTAGTTGATCTCCACCCAAGTACACCCAAGCGACCGCTCCATGCCCGTCCTCCGTGCTATGCTCGACTCTCACCCGGTCGGCTGCCATGACAGATTCTCCATCAACTGCTCAGAGCCCAACGGTCTTGGCCGCAGATCTGGCAGTCCCTTCTCATACCGGTGTCGATACTGACGAGGGAGATCAAGAAGGCTCGCCGGCCTCTACCTCCATCACCTCGAATCAGGACAAGCTCAACTCCCGCGCCGAGTTCGGTAGTCTTGACGTGTGTGAGGTCCTAGACCAGGACTCCCGCCCTACCTTTGTCCTTGACCTTGATCCCGATGTTCACGTCCCATCTCCATCAAACGGCCTGGATCCTATTTTCAGCAATTCAGCCCTTCGTCTCCACGAACGTCTGAGCGATGTGATCATTGGAAATAGAGGCCAGATCGAGCCCAATACGGGTGCTACCTACCAGGACTTTCGTTCCTGGACCATTGGTGTCACCAAACATGACGACAGCCGGGATTGTTTCCCCTTGAGCTTCTTGTATGCTGACATGCTATGGACCGGCTCTACCGTAAGGAAACGTTGGCGACTAATCAGCGGCAACCTTTGGAATCCAGGCATTCCTATCCGCGAGCTGTCTCTTTCCTCGAGTCGCCCATCCCGCGAGTCCTCTGAGTTATCGGCCTCGAGACCCTCCGTCATTGCAACAGCGGATAGTAACATCAACACGGCTCAAACCAAGAATTCCTCGAGGCAAGCAACTAACCGAAATTCTGGCACAAACCCCAAGGATATTGTGACCAACTCTAGCAGCACTGGCGACTCATCTCAGAGTAAAAGATTGGTGCTTGCAGCACCGGCCAAGGCGTGTCCTGACTGGACTGAGCCCCGCCCAAAAGGCGTCATCACAGCCCATATTGCCTTCGCCAGATCTATCCGCTGGGAATCAACGCCTCTAGGTCCAATGAAGAAGTGGTCGCCCGAGTTACGACAGATCGTGAATCTCGTCATGAGCAACCCTTTCCCGACTTCCTTGTTCTGGGGCGCCGACCTGACGATGCTGTACAATGAGGCGTACGCCATTGAGGTGGCTGGCCACAAGCATCCGAATCTCATGGGAACTGGCTTTTCTGGTCCATTCTCAGAAGTTTGGGACTCGGTCGGTGATCTGTTTGCAGAATGTGCTCGGACCGGAGTCAGCATTCGAAAAGAAGACGATTACATACCAATTCATCGTCATGGTTTTTTGGAGGAAACCTTCTACTCTTGGTCATGGACGCCGCTGTATGGTGGCTCCAAGAAGATACTCGGCTTCTACAATGCCCCTTTCGAAACCACGCAGTCGGTTCTTAGTCATCGTCGGATGCAAACCGTCAACAGAGTCGGAATCAACGTCTCCAAGGCAAAGGGAATCAAGCAGTTCTGGAAACTGCTACTGGAAGCCCTGGATGACAACCATTTCGATGTTCCATTCGCACTCCTGTATTCTGTTGGTGATACCGAAGATAACGATCAATCCTCCATTTCATCTAGTAGCACCATGTCGATGAAGAGTTGCTTCTATGAAGGATCCATAGGTATACCCCTGGGCCATATTGCAGCGCCTCATCAGCTGGACCTGAAGCGTAGCCGCGAAGGCTTCGTTCCTTCGTTTCGCGAAGCAATGCGAACTCGCGAGCCCACATTACTCCATACCCGAGATGGCAGCCTTCCAGAAGAATTACTGGACGGGATTCAATGGCGCGGTTTTGGCGAACCCTGCGACAAGGCGGTGATATTTCCCGTCCGGCCCACCAACGGAGAAACAGTCCTTGCCTTCCTGGTACTTGGCGTGAATCCTCGCCGACCGTACGACGATGGCTATAGGGCATTCTCTAGTATGCTGAATCGACAACTGGCAACATCACTGGCCTCCTTTATGTTATTCGAAGAAGAAGTTCGTCGCAATCGAGATGCTGCTGAAGCGGCGGCACTAGAATCCGAACACTTGACTGAACAGCTGGCACTGCAAACCAATCGCCTGCGACGGATGACGGAGCTTTCACCACTGGGAATGTTCCTATTCGACCCGGACGGTGTGCTGCGTGAAGCCAATGATCGATATCACGAGATGACGGGCCACCCTCGCGAGACTACATATGAGATGTCCTGGATGGAGCAGATCGAAGAAGGTAGCAGAAAGGCATCGGAAGAAGGTTGGCACCGAATGATTGTGGAGCATCAACCTTGGACAGCTGAGCTGCAGCTCAAGCGACTGCTGGTCAAGCCGGTTGACCTCGACGGTGAAGATATAGAGTACTGGGTCATGATAACCGCCCAGCCCGAGTTCTCTGCTGACGGCTCTGTCCGAGCAATCATGGGCTCAATCACGGATATTTCTCACCTCAAATGGGCACAGGGCCTACAAAACCTGAGGCTTCAGGAGGCAGAAGAGACCAGGCGGCAACAGAACGAGTTCATTGACATAACATCCCACGAGATGAGAAACCCTTTGAGTGCTATCCTTCAGTGCGCCGATGACATAATGGCAACCCTGAATTCCAAGCGTGCGACAGCCCAGAAGCCCTCTCTGCAAGACGTGGAAAGCTGTCTGGAAGCAGCACACACAATATCCATATGTGTACAGCACCAAAAGTCCATTGTTGATGACATTCTTACTGTCTCAAAACTCGACTCTAGTCTCTTGGTCATTACACCCGTTGCAGCGCGTCCAACCGAAGTGGTCAAAAGAGCTGTTCAGATGTTCGAGTCGGAGCTACAAGCCAAAGATATTAGGATGGTTCATGAGGCAAGGTCTTCTTTTGAAGACCTCGCAGTGGAGTGGGCCACTTTTGACCCAAGCCGCGTCCTTCAGATCCTGATCAACCTGATTACCAACGCCATCAAGTTCACTGCTGCCTCGACTACACGCAATATTACAGTATCAGTAGACGTGTCGCGTGAGCCCCCGATAACTAATCCCATACCTGACTTCCAATACATTCCGCCCAAGACGGTCAATTCTAATGTTATATCGGGCGAGGAATGGGGCAATGATGAGGTTCTCTATCTACGGTTCAAAGTACAGGATACGGGCTGTGGATTGACTCCCGAAGAGATCAAGGTTCTCTTTACAAAATTCTCGCAGGCTTCGCCACGCACTCATGCACAATATGGAGGAAGTGGCCTCGGCCTCTTTATTTCGCGCCAGCTTGCAGAACTTCACGGTGGACGCATCGGTGTGTCTTCGATAGCGGGGTCGGGCAGTTCGTTTGGCTTCTTCATTGCAGCTCGTAGAGCATCGTCGCCTGCTAACACGGATGCTGGTGCTGCTATTGCGGCCAATCTCGAGCTCGAGGTCGGCCAGGAATCACTCACACATCAAGTGACACCCCAACGTCAAGACCTCGCAGCGCCGGGCCCCGTAGCCGACCTCATCGCGACCAAAGCAGTCCCTAAATTTGATCCCCACGATCTAGAGATCTTGGTTGTGGAAGACAACCTTGTGAATCAGACAGTGCTTGTCAAGCAGCTTAGAAAGCGTGGCATCGGGGTGAATACAGCCAATGATGGCCTGGAGGCCCTCGCATTCCTGGACGACACCGAGTTTCGCAAGGTTGGCGGAAAACGCCTCTCGGTGATCCTAATGGACCTTGAAATGCCAAATATGGATGGATTGACCTGTGTGAGAGAGATTAGGAAGATGGAAGTGAGTGGCGCGATTAGCGGGCATGTACCAGTCATCGCGGTAACCGCAAATGTGAGGGATGAGCAAATCGCCATTGCAAAAAGAAGTGGCATGGACGATGTTGTAAGTAAACCGTTCCGCATCCTGGAACTTCTTAAAAAGATCGAAGCGCTGCTAGGTGAAGTACCTGAACAAAACTCAGTTGCTTCAGGGGCGATAGATACCAAGGAAAATTGGTAGGAGTCTGGCTACGGTCTAGAAGCATCATGATACAAAGGGCGAAAACACCTGGGCTCGTCCATAATAGAGAGAACGATTTTTTGGTCAAAAGTGACAACGCAACCACCGTGTCACACGCGACCTTTCAAGGTAATAAGGCAACCAATGCAATGTTGGCCTATGGCGGCAACAGCAGTAGATTATTTCAAGTCATCTCTCATTGAGAAGTAACACGTAAGTACCATAACGAGAGAATGATGGACTCTGTATTTTTACAATAATACGTGCGCTGCTATGTACTCTTCAAGACCATGTGATCTAAGGTTCCGGAACGACATGTGCCAAATCTTTCGACATGTCCACCTGCGTCGTCCCGCCGGTAGCTTTGGGGCCTTCGTATCCTTTGCGGGCTCCGAGCAGCCACCAGACCGTGAGAAAAACAGTCGAGCCACCCCAGAGCAGCGACGCGTAGTTCATGGTGGCTGCGTCGACGGGCAGAGATGGCGGGAAGCAGTAAATGACGAACCATACAATCATGTAGCCGCACGCCACCGTGTTGAGCACGTAGCCCAGCAGCGGGCTGCCTCGATTCAGATGAAAAGTACCATACGTAATATTCTTGCGGCCCGTGAGGAGGTGTGGGAGGATGGCTGCAATGTACGACGAGGACGACATGAGCACGAAACTTCCGGCAAAGGCATTAAAGGCCGTCGTGCTCCCAACGTAGATGCACCCGAGTATGGTGACTAGCACGGCAGTGAGGACAGTGGAGTGGATGGGCACATGAAGGGTAGGGTGGACTTTGGACAGGTGACGGGCGAAGGGGGTGGCCTTGTCCCTGGCCAAAGTCCACAGAGTCCTTCCCGCCGTGATGTATAATCCGACGAGGCAGATGCAGATACATACTAGCACCAGGAAGAGTAAACCAGTGGCCGCAGCTGCCGATCCCGTACCTTGCCGATAGATCTCGGCTATGGGATACGCAACCTCAAAGAGGGCGTCAAAGTCGTTGATTGCGTACATGATGGCAATAAGATACGCGAGACCAGTGATGAAGCCAATGCCCATTTGGAGACCAATCGCAATTGGGACGTTCCTGGAAGGATTGGGGATCTCCTCGGCAAGATGAGAGACAACGTCAGGAACGCCGACCGAGAATGCGCCGTTGAGCATTCCTGTCACAAAGACAAAGCCGGTGGGATACCCGAGATCGGCCGACCATTCGGTCCATACAAAACTATTCGTCGCGTGTGAAGCCCGGCCGCCACGACCCGGCATGACGGCTAGAACAACTATAGTGATGAGAAATCCCGTGAGAATGAAAAAGATGCCAATGTTGTTCAGGTGAGGCATGGCGCGGTTGAAGAAGCAAACAGAGAGGCAGGCGATCCAAGTGACAATGATGTACACAATGAAGACGTGCCAGCTCTCGGCCACAAAGTCTGGGTGATTCAGTGCGTACATCTGGACAATGGTGCTTCCAATGATGGAGGACATGGACGCTCCGCCAAACACCCAGGCAAGGTAGTTCCACCAGCCTGCAAAGTAACCTATTAATCTACCCCATTTGAGCCCCGGGGTGACGGACGCCCAGTGGTATACACCGGCAGACGACGGGATGGCTGAGGCGAGCTCGGCAATACACAGGGCGACAATCCAGTAGAATACAGAGACTGTGATGAACTCGTACAAGACTCCTAGAGGAGAATTAGTTTTGCGAAATGCATTCAGCGTGGCAAAGTTGCCACTTTGCAGTCCAAAGCTTTTGAACATACCAGGTGGTCCTCCATTGTATAGAGCGACGAGAATGCTACCTCCTACAGCAGGCCAGACGTTTCCGACAACAAGTCCTACGCCGGCCAGAGAGAGCAAGCTAAAGTTGCGCTCGAGTTCTTGAGTGTGTCCTGATGCATTGACCAAATCCTGTGATGCTTCGATGCCGCCAACCCCAGAGCTAGGCACTATCTCCAACGACTTCTCCGCCTTACCCTGCAGTGTCGCCATCTTGGATTTGCTGGTATATAGATGACCAAAGACGGGGAAGTATAAACTTGTGAGAGGGAACAAGACGAAATTAATCAAGAGCCGCAGTCCCGGCTCATATTAACATGAACTTGCCCAAGAAACAATGCCATACCGTCCGTGCCAGGTCGGGTAAATGGTCTCGCGAATGACATGATCCTCCAGGTTCACCTCCTCTCTCGGCTGATACGTACCATAGATAAGGTTCCAGGCGGTCGAATACGTTAACGTTAGCATGACTAAAAACCCGCCGAGCTGTAAAAGGACAGTCCAGGCGATGATTAGATAGACGAGATTATGCGGGATGCTAGCGCGCGGGGAAGCGTCGTTCAAAGTATAGCGCCGCCGGTAGCTTGCCGATCCAACCATGGGCATATCGCCAAGGGGCAGTGGTTCCATTTCTCACAAGTAACAGAAACAGTAATGGTATTTACTACTGATGGAGTTTGTTCAGATGAACTAGCGCAGTTATTACCGGGAAGCCATGCTATTACCGCCATGTATCAGTAAAAGAATACATTGATAGTAGGCAGATAAGGCCTAGGTCATACCACGGACAGTTGGCCCCCTAATTACTTTCTTACCAGTGTCCAACGTGTAGTACAAAAGTCAATGCTGGACAGTTGGCCTAGGCATGAATTTACTGCTCTCTTCTGACCAATGAATGGATCAATACCGCGCTGGCTATTTATATACCAAGTGACCAAGTATTTGGTTCATGTTAAGATGCTTCAACGATTGATACCCCACATACACGAACCTCTTTCAGGCAAGACATCGTTTATTCTGCTTCTCTAGCCACAAATCTTAGAGTCAAACACTTTGGAATTTATGGCGAAATCATGAAACTAATCAAGATTTGACCGAACAGTATAACATCCTCCTCCTGATTAGCTGAATTGAGATAATCACAGGCCTCCTTGTGGTCAAATTGCCCATTTTCCTTCAAATTACTTATGGTAGTCTTGATGATGAACTTGTCGAATTCGGGATGGCCTTGGGAAGTCAAGACTCTTCCAGGCTGAAACAGTCCCTGAATCTCGCAGAGCTCACTTTTGCCTACAGTCATCCAGTCTGGCGGCAACTTCGCACTGCTAGTGATGCCAGCGACATGGTCGGAATGTAGAAATTGGCATGACATAGACTCGGTGTTCTTTAGCAAGGAAAACTTCTCTTTGAACTGCGGACTCAGTGTTACCCGCTGAACGCCAATTTCCCAACCCATTGGTGATTTTTCGGCGTGAACACCGTGACTACTGAGCAAGGTTTGGGCTACAAGCTGATGCCCAAAGCAGCTTCCATAGATGCGCACATGCTGGTGGGACATGTAAACAACTGATCACATGATTAGCTGTCGAGAAATCTGTAAGCAATTTTTGACACAATACTTTACCTCGAAGAAACTTTGCCAATAATTGAATTCAAGGCGTTTTATCATATGCGGACTGCATTGAACCAGTTACAATGATTGCATCAAAGTCGTGGCCCACATGTTCTGGATACTTGCCATCCACAACAATGAACCCAGTTGCCCGAATCACTACCTGTTCCGAGACTCTGCGTTTGGTATTATATTCTGTTACCGACCTCTCCAGCCAGTTTCCAAAGACAGTGGTGAATGTGCCTCTCTCTCGGCCAATATTTTCCGGAAACTGAAGAGACTCAAGAACAGCAATTCGAACGAGTCGAGGAGCAGTGGCAGACATGGTAGCGACGTGCGCAATAGTGCAAAGTTGTCGAGTCTTCAGGACGTGATGGATATATGGCGATGACGGCTTCTGTTTTGCAAGTATATCACCTTATTTTTGATGTTATGCTCAAATGTGTGCCGAGATGCGACGATGACTCAAATCATGTTGAAATCCGAGCATAAAAATGGTGCTTAAATAAATGGACATGTTTGCTACTCAACCCCTTGTGTTTATCACAAGCACGGAAACGGACACTGGAATGACTCGAGGACTTTTCAGCTTAAAGAGGGACTTATTCACTGTACTCGAGTCTCAATTCGAAATAGACGCATTCGTAGTCGCTACTTTAGTGGAGGATATCATCTCAATACCAAAATTCGTTTCGGGTCAAGGGCGCACTGAACAATCGCATCATCAAGGTCTCGAGTGATGTTTAAATTAGAAAACATGGGTTGAGTTCACGAACATACAAAATAGATATGATGCAAACAGCCCTGCCATTCAGCTGCATTCGGTTCCAGCCATGACTATTTAATTGCCAAGTAGATTTCACTCAATGGTCATGGTATTCAAGATTTCGCGACAACTCATCAGCAAACATATGTGCGTTCTTTCGTGGTCACGTGAAATCCCATAATGTGAATAACGAGTCCCACATGCAGCAGGTACATGACAGCAGCCGCCTTCATGCCTTGATCCTCCATCTTAACACCAGCGATTTGAGAGGAAGAAGCCATTCAGCGGCTGGGCGATCATGAACAAAATTGACCAAGTTTAATATAACTACGATAACCCGTCTTACATGATTACACTCATTGTGTTCTTTATATTACCATTACTGGAGATTGGATACGAAGATGTAGCGAGTCACCCTACAGAATCTGACCGTTACTAGGATCCCTGTTTAGATCCTTGCTTTAACCCGCCACATCTATTGGATACTGACGTCCTGTTGCCATAAGCTTATTACTCTGTATATGCAGATCAAAGCACACAGAAAGCACACCGACCACAGTGCGGGGAAGTGGCCGTGAGAGGACCAACAAGCAGCCGTTGATATGGTTCAAAGATAACCCCCATTTTGGCAGTTGTAGAAAGGTAGGTGCGCAAGTACTCTGCATGCTTCTTGCCACAAGGGTGTCATGCTTGTCGCTTCATGCTGCCCTCGTCTAGATTCTCAAGGTGCATAAATATAGCTATCTCCAGTCCGGTCTCCCCTCCTTTAGGTACCATCTAGCACATAGTCATTCTCTTTCACACTTCTTTGCAATGCTGAGAAAGTCTCCCACGGGCACTTGGCTACCCGCATGGGTCCCAGAGTCTACCATTGTGCTCTCGTGTTTACTCATGATTTGCTCGATTGTCAACTCGACGGTAAGCCACATATCCTGTGCCTACGGGAACTACTGTTTAGGCCAATAACAAATGGTGATACAAGGAAACTGAAAACATATAGACAAATGGCTATGATGGCTCCATGCTTAATGGACTCAACATCCTGCCGTCTTATACGGACTATTTCGACCTGACTCCGGCGACGACAGGATTGAGTACCGCCTCAGTGTTTATCGGTGGTTTTCTTGGGCCCCTCTTTTCAGGTGTCATAACGGACAAATTTGGTCGCAGACCAGCCATTTTGTATGGAAGCGTGATCACCCTCATTGGCGTCATTTTACAGACTGCCGCGCAGAACATTGCCATGTTTGTCATTGCTCGCATCATCATTGGCTTTGGTTCTGCACTCTCGGGTATTGCGGGCGGTGTTTATCTGTCCGAGACATTCCCGAGCCGCTGGAGAGCCTGGGGTGTTGGATTATTGAATGATTTCTACTAGTCAGTGCTCGAGATGCTCATTTACCGAGCGCTTCAATCAACGCATGTCGATGCTGACATGATGCAGTGTTGGTGCCCTCATAGCTGCTGGCATCACCCTTGGGACTGGCGAATGGGAGTCGACGTGGGCATGGAGAGCACCTTCGTTGTTTCAAGGAATCTTTTCACTTCTTTGCATCGTCATATTGCCATTCATGTGAGTGCTTCGTTAACCACATCAATTCTCTTCGCGGGCTTGTCTAAGTGGTATCCAGTCCGGAATCTCCGCGATGGCTTCTCCATGAAGAGCACTATGAAGATGCGCGACTTGTCGTCGCACAAACGAACACGAGCGGAGACTTGTCCGATCCTGTAGCTATTACCATATGTAAGTATTCTTGTGTCAAAGTCTTGGCAATCACGGTCTGAAAAGTCAAAAACACCAGACAAGGAGATTTTGGACACTCTGGAATGGGAAAAGAAAGAGGGCCGAACCATGAGTCCAAAAGAAGTCATCAAGACTCCCGTGGCAAGAAAGCGTCTCCTCATTGGTGCTTCTGCCGGTCCCTTCTCATGCATAGCCGGAAACATCATTGCTTCGTATTACTTGGGGTCGGAGCTCGAGACTGCGGGTATCGTGGATACTCTGAGTCAGTTGAAAGCTGTAAGCCCTCATTCCCGCATGAATACCTTGAATTGAAACTAACTGCAAACGTCAGAATGTTGTACTGAATGTCTGGTGCCTTGCTTGCAGTCTCCTGGGCACTCACTTGGCCGCTAGATGGGGCAGGAAACCGACAGCACTATTGACCCAGAGCCTCCTAGTCATTTGTCTATTCATCATCGGCGGCCTTTCAAAGATGTATGCGGATGACCCCGAGGGAGCCTCCTCAAGCCTAATTTATGGAGACGTGGCCGTCATGTTTCTCTTCCAGGGATTTTACTCCGTCGCTTGGACCCCTTTGCTATATCTCTATCCCCCAGAGGTCATGAACTACTCTATTCGAGCCAATGGGGTTGCGCTATCTCAGCTTGGATTGAATGCTTTCGCGTAAGTAACCCTCTGCAAAAATGTCAGGGAAGACGCTGACTTGCATCCTCGCAGCATGGTACTAGTGTTCGTGATGCCGATCGGCCTCGATAACATTGGTTGGAGAATGTACATGATCAATGGCTCGTGGGATATCATTGTTATTGTTCTCATCGTAAGTATCTTGAGCCTTAATAACAACAGTTCCCAAATATCTACCACACTGCTAAATATAGACATTATCAGGCCTTTTATTGGATCGAGACAAAGAACAAGAGTCTGGAAGAGATCGACGCTTTATTTGAAGGTCAAAAACACTCTTCAGTTCCCGACGTCGAGAAAGTCCGTCTAGGTGTCGAGACAATTGATGTCAGCAAGGTCGAAAATCAAATTCAAGCAGATATTCATGCCATAAAGACAAAGTAAAGTGGGATCAAGCAGCAACAGGAAAACATATGCTGGTGAGCAGTGTAACTGAGCCTAGGTACTAAGAAGCTTATCAGTCTTCCCATAGTGTTCACCTGAAAGGTAAATGCAAAGCTATTGCGAGCCGACTTTGCAATCAACCTCGGCTTTTGGGATCTAAGCACCTAAAGCTAGTTTTATCAACGCAAAATTGTCTTGACATGCCGTCAATTGCCATGTTTCATTTACTCCTGGTCCGAAGAGGCATGATCAGCTGGGCATCTAAGACATGTGATAGTCCGGTAGATGGGACGCAGGTTGTAGTTCATGGGACAGAAGTGACACCAAGCTCACCGGCACTTGTCCGCTCCGAGTTGACCTGGCCAGCCATTGGCTCGACCTGATTATGGCACTCTACAATGCAAGCCACAGTTTGCTGACAGTGCCCAAGACCCTGTTCCAATAAATCCTTCGTGTGCAAAGCAATTCTCTTTGGCTGTGTGACACTCTTGAGATCCGATTGTAACAATCATCAGCTGAACGAGTGAACGCAAAAGGGCAAGGTAGGAAAAGAAAATGTACAAAATTCTAGCCGCGGATGGTATACTAGCAACTCAGAGTTCTAGGCATGTTTCACAGCGGCTGAAGAGTGACTAGATCAATACCTCCCGCTGCAAAATCGTACCAATTATAAGCTAGACATTGTCAATAGGTGATATTGGCGGTAACTGAGCTAGGGAAAGTAACTATGCTTTGGTGGACGAGGTCATGTCCTGCGCATTCGATCCAATGAGAAGCGAAAATACCTATTTCACATCAGATCCGTGTCTTTGAGATGCTCCCGCTTAGCAAACCCGTGCAAGCCTCTTTAGTCACCACTTGTTCTAAAAAGACGTCAGAGTGCAGGGACATGTCCAAGGAAAATGCAAAATGATTTAGAATGCGTAATGTGTATAAAGATAAAAGCAAAAGACAATGATTCCATGAAAGCAGCATCGCTACAAGCAAGTGGTGGCTACATAGGGCCTAGAAACTTCTGAAAACATACCACCGTCCACCTCTGCGCCTTGAAGATGCGTATATCAACAGTCATTGTCGCACTCAGTGCGCCGCATGCGCTGGCCTTCCCGTGGCTGACACCAGATGGTATGAATGCTCTCCTCAATCATCCGGAGGCTCGCCAAGAGATTGATCGCCGCCTGGAGGAGTATCGATCAGGCAAAGCCAAGGAGCGCGATCTGATTGGTGGGATTGTGGGCGGCTTGGGATCTTTGCTTGGAGGAACGCTTCAAGCGGTGCTTGACAATGTGCTTGGTCTCATTCCTACGTCCGAAGCAGTCAAAGGGTTGCAAAGATTCCCGCAGTGTGGGTCGACAATTTCCCCGAAACGTGGCTGGCCATAGACACTGACTTTGACGACACAGCGGACCATCCCTTCCAAGCGCCTGGTCCGACAGACCAGCGTGGACCTTGTCCCGGCTTGAATACTCTTGCCAACCATGGATGTTCGTAGTGAGGCCTGTCAACTTCTGGGTCCTGGTCATACTGACATGATGCATCAGACATTCCCCGTAGTGGTATTGCTAGTATTGGCCAGATTAATGCTGCTACAGCAAAGGTCTTCAACATGGGAGCCGATCTTTCGTCTCTGTTGGCAACTGGCGGTGCTCTTGATGGTGGCGATATCCTGTCGCAAACCATGAGCATTGGTGGCCCTGATAATCGTGTTGGTCTCCTTGGAGGTGCCCTCAACAGAATCTTTGGAACTCCCTCAGGTATCGCCGGACACGGTAAGTTAGTCCTCTGCAGAATTGAGTCTGCGTCCATAGTATATTGACCATGGCCAGGGAAATTCAACGAGGGCGATGCGTCTGCCACCCGCGACGACTTTTACTTGGAAGGCGACAATATCTCCTTCAAGCCGGAACTGTTCAAACAAATGCATCAGCAAGCTCTAGCCAGAGGAAACGGCACGTACAATGTCGATGCCATCAAGGAGCACTTTAAGAATCGGTACGCGGCATCAAGAGCGGCCAACAGCCGGTTTTACTTCAACGTGCCCAGCGCTGCCGTGGTCATGGGTGCATACTATTTCATTCCTGGATTCTTTTCAAACGGAACCATTGGGCAGGGTGGTATCGCCAACGAGGCATCCATCACATCATTTTACGGCGCGAAACCCGATCGTGCGAATGCGTGGCAGGATCCAGATCTCACATACACTCATATACCGGAACGCATCCCTGAGGTTGGGTGGTATCGTCGTGCTACCCCAATGACCATTGTAGAAGCCGCCGGTGGGATTCTTGACGTCTATCTGTACGCACTGCCACCGTTGGGCGGCGCTGGTGCCGACCAAGGCTGGGTCTTGGGGCCACTAACTCTTCCCAGCACTCCGCAGGCCTTGTCTTGCTTCCTGTACAATGCCATATTTGCCAACTTCCCGTCCGAGTTGTTCAACTCGGTGTCCTTGCTGCAGTCGCTCGTCAATTCTGTCGTTGGCCTACTGGCTCCTGGTTTCCAGGCGCTGGGCTGTAACGTTAATCTGCCAGATGCGAATGGCGCCTCGGCCGCGCAATTCAATGCTGCTGCGAAGCAGTTTGTTGGATCTGCCAAGACCGAGGCTGTTGGCAGTGGCTGGTACAATGGAACTTAATTCTACGATGAGGCTTGGGATTGAATTGCTGGGCTAGGTGTTGATGGCGCGCCCCAGCCCATGGCTGTACATGTGGTTGGTAGAAGTCATAGGTTTGCGACACGGGTGAGAATGGTTGTTAACAGCACCACCAACCATGTGTATAAAGCACCTCCTTGAGGTACTGTCGCAGGAGGTCCCAGAATTCAGAGTTGTCTGCCAGTCGGTGCAGGAAGGTCATTACACAGCAATAGCAATATTCCGGGTGAAATAGGACTCCGCGATGATCCTCCTAGGAGCAAATTTTTCTTGAGAACAGGATCAGTGATGGATTTGCGACGTCTGTGCGAGTACGTATACAGGTAATAATAGTATCCAGCTGTACTCTGTAGTGCTGGAGTATTTATTTCATGGCTTTGTTTCGGCGCGCGGCAGTGGTTTGTTGGGATCACCGGGAACCAGATCCACCGTCTTTGCTCACAGCTTTGGTCAGAAGTGTTGAGTTGAAAAGTGCAATTCTATTCCTTCGAGTTGCGAAACGCATTCATTCGATGGACGAATTGTCAAGGACGCAAGCCGATTGAGGCAAAAGATGGACATTTGCATGGTGAACATTGACCTGTGCTGCCCGTCCAAAAGTACAGGTACATTCGGCATACTCCAAAGTGCCTGCACACGTGTTAAATCGCCAGTTGCATACATACCCAAGCGGATAAGGTGGGGGGAGGTTATCAAGTACCCGGTACCTGCGCTGATCAGACGTCATGAGCTTGTGCTAACCAAATGTTGGGGTGTCTACTACTAATGTATCTCCCTTCTCCATTTGTTATGGGCTCTCAGCACAGCATCCAATTCAGCAAGTCAAAAGCGTCCGTCCAGTCGATCTTGTTCGCGCATGAAATCATTCATTCATTCCTTGATTCATTCCATTGGATGCATGTTCGCATGATCCTTCTCGTTTCATCCTGCAAAGCACATTCTGTCCTGATACTGCTGTTTTAATTCGAACGAGCTTGACGGAAATGACCAGGACTCACAGTCAGCCTACATTTTCCACTCTTTGTAGCAATGCGACAATAGTTGCCCGCGACACCTTGACGACATGATTGGCACATCTCTCTATCAGTTCGTCTTTATCAGGGCCTGCATATTTGCCTTGCACTACACTTCACCATTATTGCTGCTCGCCCTCGGCATCCAGCTCGTTGCTATCGGTCGTTCTGCGCTCTCATGGCGAATCAACCAGTTGTTCATTGCTTACTGCATCGTTGACTTGCTCTATGCCGTCTTGATATGGTGGCCTTACAACAAACGCCTCAAAGATGAAGCGAGACATCCACCACCTCTGAGCTCCGCGGATAGGAGGGCGCTGTTCCTCAAATGCGCTGATCACATACCTGACCTCGAGCGATATCTGCGACTCTGGTTTCTTGGGGCAGACAGCCTTGATATCAAACGTGATAATGTCCATGATTTCGTCCTCTGGGCATTTTTTGACACGGTGCCAGAACGGGCATCGCAGCAGGACGTTTTTGAAGCTGAAGAACTCGTTGATCTCCTTGAAGACCGCCTGGGGCGTAAGCTTGATGCAGGGCGAGGGAAAGCCCGCGGACTGTGTCTGACAATTGATGCCATCGAAACGCGATATCGTAGCTTTATCTGGTACATCATTGTCGGACTTGTCGACCTGTTCACGCATTTCCAATTTGCATGGCTCGGTTTCGAGTACTTTGCCCAGCCAAGATCCGAGGCTTTCTCGGTCACGCCTCCTCGGTTGCAGAGCCTATTCGCAAGCAAGCAGTCTGCGTCCAGACAGCTCAGCTACTGGCATCGGCCTCATACGGCAGCCGACAAATCCCCAGTGGTCTTTTTGCACGGCATTGGAATCGGGCTCTGGACATATGTCCCTTTCCTCTCTAGAATTGGCGGTAACAACACCGGTAGTGGCGACATTGGTGTCATTGCTATAGAGATTCTCCCAGTCTCATTTCGGCTTACTGACGCTCCTTTGAGTAAGCTTGAGCTCCTCAGCCAGCTCGATACCATTCTTGACAGTCACGAGTGGGGGGACTTTGTGCTGGCCGGGCATTCGTACGGTACCGTTCTTGCGTCGCACATGATCCATTCAAGAACATTCAACTCTCGCCTCCAAGGTGTGGTCTTGCTGGATCCTGTGAGCATCATGTTGCACCTGCCAGACGTTGCCTATAACTTCACAAGACGGAAGCCGAGCCGAGCCAACGAATGGCAGCTATGGTATTTTGCCAGCATGGATCCCGGCGTTGCTCACGCGCTGGCCCGGCATTTCTTCTGGCGCGAGAACATTATCTGGAAAGAAGAGTTACTCGACCGCTCTACGAATGAAAGGACCCGTGATAGTCATGGGATAAGCACTAGAAAGGTAGCGGTTTGCCTCTCTGAGCGAGATCTCATTGTCGACACCTTGAGTGTAGCTGAATATTTGGCTGACGGCGAAGACTGGACCCCAAGCACGGGCTCCGACGTGGGTGACGAGATGTTGCACAGAGACCTGCATGTCACTCGTGATGGTATTGAGATCTTGTGGTTTCCAGGGCTGGATCACGGCCAAATGTTTGAGAAGCGCGAGAATCAGGATCGCGTGTGTCGCGTTATTGATAGCTATTGTGCGTAGTGATTCACAATGTGGTCGATCGATCTGTATCACACACACTCAAAAACACAAGCTGTATATATTAATGACATGTTGCACCACCTGTTTCTAGTGGTAAACATTTGCTTGATATATGGCGACACCAAATTCTCGTAATGCTTGCACAGAGTCCTAGTCTGCTTTTGCCTCATCTCCGCCCCAGTCCTCGAGCCAGACCACTGTTGGCTCGGGGCCGCTCCGGATGAGTATCCAAACAACGTCCTCGTCAGTTTCATTGAGCTCTTGATGTTCCGTCCATGAGGGGATGAAGGCGAAATCACCCGCCGTTAGCTGTTGTCTTTTGAGCTTGGGCTCAGTCTCGTTGCCAGGATTGGTAACTAAAACGCCAGTGCCGGATGCAGCGTATATGATGGTGTCTAGAGCAAAAACGAATATCAGAGGCCGAAGGGTCTCGTACATGTAGAACCTATGACAACGGAAAACTTGCCTTGTTCACCATGGTGGTGTACCGCCGACGAGCAATGAGCTTTGGCTATCAAGACTGCACACAGATGGTCGCTAGCATCGGGATCGACAAGAGAAAAAAGCGGAAGCGATCTCATTTAGGTCCCGCCCACCGTCGGTATTTCCTTATATCCGGCGAGGCGCGAGCGAGCGAGTGAGAGATCAGGGAAAAGGGAAACAAGAGAAGCCCACCTGTAGCACACATCCGGTCGCTTTTCCCGATCACGGCGCCTTGCCGAATCATGGGCGAAGTATTCCCCGATCTCTGCGTCTCCAGTTCGGATGCTTTCGTGATTTGCACGGACGAAGGAAGGATCATGGGCAGGATGTCAGGGATAAGGGAAAAGAAAGACGACATGTCGGGCAAGATGACTGAGCGCTTGCCTTCCCCAGCGTTGTTTTGTTCTGTTATGCAAGGATCCCCACGGGTCGCGTTTTGGAAGAGTTGCTGGCTGGTAGGTACAAGGTTCGTTTACTTTTAAGCATTACTCTGTAGATGATGCTCTGGTGAAAAGAGGCCTCGGTTTTTGAGATCCACGTCTTGTTTGAACTACGATTTATGCCGACAAGTTTGTGCACAAGGCCGCCTCGCCTCGCTTCTATGCCGCATTCGGACTTGGGAGACAGAGATATGTATAGCGAGCAAAAAGGAATTCTGTACGGTTTTTTTTTTTTTTGGGCGGAAATGGGTAGTTGCATGCTGATGTAAGTGAATGCCAGGTACATGTTGGCATACTATGTAGTTGGTCCAGGCATTGACAAGCCCCGGTAAGCTAACTGGCTTCATTCATCCTAGTGACTTTCAGGGCCCCGCGACGTCGGTGTTTCCGATTTTACTCCCCGTACTTAGATGACGCGGGAGATAACAATCCGGAAAGATGGGAGATAATCGGCTATCAGTGACCTCTTTACAAATTAGCAGCTACACAAGTAAGCTTGAATGCGAGGAATCAAAGTTATTAGATACATTAGATAGTCTATGAAATACTTGTTTCCCAATCTCACCAATCTGATTAATGACATGGTTTGTCACAGTTGCGGAAGAGCTGTTTCGTCGTTCTTGGTCTTTGAGGTGTGGGCAACCAGTGTTTTATGGCGTGATGGTCGATGTCATCAAGAGCACACCTGCAGCACGCAGCGTACTTCTCTGATGTATAGTGCACAGTTGTATTAATTCGTGCAGGTAATGCAGGTGGGTGGCCGGTAAAAAAGGCAAGGAAGGTCGAGCTACGTAGATGGATCTACTGCTCCCCCCACTGAGCTGCAGCTTTCTTCCAATGCCGACCCGCGCTGATGTTCTCGTCTCGTGGTAATAATCAAGACCACTGACCGCTGCTTGACTCGTTCACAATCTGCGCCGAGCCACCAGCAAACACTTTGACGTCCGCCTTAAGCCTCGGGAAGAATTCCCTAGGTAGTGAGCTACGCGCCAGGCCCTCCAAATTATTCCAGTCGCATTCCAATCAGCAATTTACCAGGGAGGGAAGGGACAAGAAAAAAAAAGAGTAGTTCCGGGCTAGGCCACCCAATGCCGATACGGAAGGCGTCATCGCGACGTTGAGCTACAAGCTTAAGCTGCGAGCCAAAAGTTTGCGGCCGTTGGGGACAACAAGCTTGGACGGGAAGAAAAAGAAAAGAAAAGTTTTTTGATCACATTTTTTGTCCTAAATAGAGCGAGTGTCCTCCAAAGTTATTGGGACTTTTTTTTTTTTTTCGCTTGTTTGTAATGTTCACCCATTAACCGATTTGAATTACCCTACATATACTTACTCCATCTGTACAGCATGAGCTTCGCAGCTACTGTACGCAGTACGCATGTACTTGCAGACCACCTGCACATGCCAGTAGGCAAGCTGTTTGGTGGATTACCCGCTGGTGTCATGGCAGATGCTGCAATGACACACGACACGCTATCAGCAACCATGCAAGAAAGAGACAGACTGGTGGAGGAGCGGCCCATCGCCAACACCAGCAGATATGGAAACGATACTTCCGAGCCGGCCCTTAGCAGCTTCGAGATGTTGCCATCCGAGCTCATCGACACCATCTTGGGTTATCTGTCGCCACTAGAACTTTCAGACATGAGACAGGTGTGCAAAGCACTGCATTCTCACGCTGATAGTGATTTTCACTGGCAACGTCACGTATGGGCAAATCTGCCCGGCAACCCCATTACTACGCCGTATCCATTCAATACGTTTCGTGAGCTGTACGCTTGTCACGATCCGTTTTGGTTTATACCTAAAAACAAGCTATGGTTCTCGGACCGTGGACTTACAGGTCAAATGATCATGGTGCAGTATGACCAAAGGAGAGGCGTCATAGAGGGCTATCAACTCGTAGCAGTGAGCACTGTAAGCAGACGCGAGGCGTGGTCAACAAGCACAGGTGCTGTGGCGGAAATAGAGCATTTTGAACCCCAGGTCAAGCTACACAAAGATAAACCCGTGCTCAAACTCAGCCCACCTGACCGAAGGCGCGATACTGAGTCCGCGGAATCTAGCCCCAAACGAGACTTTTTTCCTGCACAGCCTATGATGCTGGACATTGACACAGACCCCCGGGTTGGCGAGGTGGTTCTGGCCAAGCCCTTGAGCGGTTTGCTCGAGGCTAACGTTCCAGACGCATTTCCGTATGGTTATGTTTGGCCTCCTCCGGCCATCCCAGCGGACCACCGTGTCGGGGCCCAGGCAGCCGGCGTCTTCCCCATCTCCAGCCAACGGCTAGAGGTTGCCTCTCCAGGAAACTGGGCGCCCCATAGTCGCTCAGAGGCTTCTGACCAGACATTCCGTATTCGGCGTTGGATGGAGTGGATGCGATCTGGACTGGGCTTGAGGCTGGGAGAGGAGACAGTGACATGGTCCACATTGGATCCCTATTGGTACACGCCTACCAAGGAGAAGCCGTGGAGAGGCATTTGGGTTGGAGACTATAACGTACACAAGTGCGAGTTCCTGTTGATTCACCAGCCCGACTCAGAAGAAGGCGAGACTCCAGCTTTTGAGCGCAAGCCAGATGAGACGGACGAAGAGTTTAACGCCAGATTTTTGCATGAACGAGTGCACCAAGGATCGCTGGAAGCCATCAAGCTTACAGGAGATACGAATGTGCCCCGCGGTGAGCGTACATTCATCGCACCGAATCTTGGTGAACTGGGACTGGTGGGCGTGGAGGATCGGGAACCCTTTGCAGGGAGCAGAGTTGTCAAATCAAAGGGTCACATAGCCCACGATGGCTTCATCAATGGTAGGGAGAGAGCACCGTCAGGTATTGGAGAATCGAATTTGCCAACTAATATGATATCTCAGACACATATACACGATCCCAGCTCATACTGATCTCTCCAAATCGGTTGGCCCAGTACTGGATCGACTTTGGACATATCAGCTACTATGAGAGAGTCGATATCGATCGCTTTGTGGCGCCATAGTCACTAAACTCGGATTCATACACTATACGATGAGGGAATGTTGTTTGAATTGGCAGAATCTAGGAAGCGATTCACCAGGACAGTTTCCACCTAGGTTGGTGCTCTCGGACAATACTGATAATGGCATGCCACGAGTTATGCGAGTGCGTCTGTGGCCAATGAACCTTGCATATGTGTACATGAGATGAAAAGTGAACTTATGCGCGTGATCGCAATTGTTTAGATAATGATAAGAAAGGGTTTGGAGTGGCATGCCTCTCTTCCGTGCGAGTTCAAGCAAGTTCAGTGGCCTGTCTGCACGCTTGGAGTTGAACTCGAGTGCAAGGTGTGTATAAGTGGGTTCGTCGTTGATAGACAAGTTGCAACGCCACGACCACTGAGAACTATTAAACACATGATATAGTATTTTGAATCATATCTCTAATCAGTTGCTATCGGCTGCATAGTAATTTGCCAAAAACTTATAGTAGCTTGAGCCTGGTGGATTGGACACGTGCCGAATGGCCCTAAGGGGGGCGTCAACACTGGAATGTACCGAATTTAGTAACCCGCGTTACCCCTCCACTTCCCAACTCTCGATGCACCTTACTCGTGCCCCTCCCAGTCCATGGCGGCGACCCCGACGTCATCCACATCTTCCCTCCCAGAATTTTGCTTCAGGTCTATTATCTATCTACCTAATATTCAACCTACAAGATCAGAATTTCAGAGCACGAACAAGCAACTGATAGAATTGCGTTTTGGTCCAAGTTAGATGATAGACATCGATCCATTCTCTGTCGTTTTGTCATTTTGAATTCGTCACTTGACTTTTTGCCCTTGCTTTGTTGCAAACAAAAGCCGGCCCTGCCACACCTAGACCGCATTCCTCTATCAATCGAATCCAGTCTCTCTCCCGGCCCGAACCAGAGGTCAAAGAACCCACAAATACCCGACAAAGGGCCCAGTCTCTATCTCGTATCGACACGGCGGGAGACAAAACTTATAACGAGTCTTGACGTATCCGCGTCAACGCCAAAAGTTCCACGTAATCCGGACTTTAAGCATGGCTGACAAGTACATCATCCGGGTGACCGCTGGGTCAAATTACGACGTGGACAGCCATCAGGTGGTTCCAGTCAACTCGCCTGAGCTTACCAGGATCAGCAATGAGTTCATGGACATTGATCTCAACGTGCGAGTACAAAACTACAAGGGCCTGCCCAAGAACTCCCCAGCCACTTCGGCCTACTTCTCGCAACCTCCACATGACTACAACAAGGATCAATATAGCATATCACTGCAGTTCAAACCTAAGAGGTCGTATGCAGGTAGCTTGCCCGGCTCCCAGAAGGGCGAACCTCCGGTGGCCAATGGGACTGCGATTGAACCCGACGCTTCTGGCGAAGCCGGGGACGAGGAGGAAGACGAGGAGCCCAGCAACGGAATTTCTGCCGCGGATCTCCAGTTTGGCAACGATTTTGATCATCCGATTCGTGACCGACTACCGCCGGGGTTCAATACGGCCATGAGCATCGTGAAATGGTGGATTGATCCTGGCCTGGATGGTGATGCGTACGCTGATCAGCCATACCTATACGGCCCGGCGCTCTCGTCTTTCAATGCAATTCACGTTGGCAAGGCCGAGCACAACCCAGAAAAGGGCGGCCTGTGGTTTGAAGAGGGAGGTGATGAAGCTGGTCTCGCAGCACGCAAGGCTATTGGCGCGCCAGATACCGCCAAGGCACGAATGAAGTGGGCGCTCAAGGAGGACAGTAAGGCCAAGTGGACGTTTGAGTATGGAAAAACGTATTGTGCCGACTTTTTCAATCCTTACCTCGACTTTGGCGACTTTAGCTTGAAGCTCCCTGGCTTTACACTCCCCATTATGAAGTATTGGGACGGCCAGGGTCTACGGTAAGTGAATGCTCATCGTCCAGGGCCCATTTTCCACTACTGTCTCGAATTTCCTTTTCTCATCACTCAATCATAGGGAGAAGCCGAAACGCTCACATCGGCTTAGATACGTACTACGAAACAAGTCGACAAGTGATACTTACCTGGTCGTCATATTCAGTCTATACTTGAAGGAAGACGTTAACGAGGATGGCTCACTCAAGCCTGCGGCAATAGAATCGCACAAGAAGGTAGAGACGGGATCTGTGGATGTGACGAGCGAAGCAGCTGGCGAAGCAGAGGACCCAAAAGTCCTAGAAGAAGCTAGAAAGAAGTTGGAGAGCTTGGATGTTGGGAAAGATTCAATCGATGCGACAAACGACGACGATGTGGATTAGATGGTGGCATAGAGTAATGACTGCTACATTAATGCGCTTTGAATCACATCGGGTCCAGCCTAGCCTCCCAAGCCCTCCTCGATGATTGAACCATTACTGCACCCCTTTCTTCTTTTAATGCGGTGAATGTCGACCATGAAAGCACTACATGGCTGTACTTGGACCGGCTTACCTCAGACATGCATATCAGGTTGGGGCGGATGGCGGCTGCTGCCGCTGGCGGGATGGTGTCATACAAAACGCGATTTCTCGACCATCGCTGTGGATAACTGATAACTAAGAGTGTGGGAAACTAGTGTGCATCACGGAGTCTTACAAAGAGTTTGTTGAAGTTCAGGTTGCCTTGAGAATTCTCTCTGTGATAGGTACGGTAGTTCGCCGCAGCCGCGAGGAAAGGCTTCCAGTTCTTGTTCAAATTTTGCATCAAATTCCTTAGAAATGTAATTCCCCGGTTGTAATAATATCCCCAAATCTCTGGCCGTTGCGTGGGACAGACTACTCCGCGCCAACTCGTGGTGAGAATGTTACTCATTCCCAGCCGGCTCCTTGAAGGTTCATCGTGTTGCCCAACATAAAAGTGGTGACGGGTAAGCCCCATCTTTGGACAATAGACACGTGGTTCTCGGGCCGAATGATCATTTAGTAATGGGCAGTAGCTAGTGATGGGGAAGTGTTCAAGTGGTGCTATAAAGAAGATTGTGATACGAAGGAAGTAACTGTCCTGACTTCGGGCAAGATCTTCCTACTCATAAGGCCTCTTGACTTTCAGGTCAATTTCACTTCCTTCTCTTCATTGAGCTCTTTCAATTCATCCCACCCAGCCTTTCAGCCGTTGCGAAGTCTGTCTGTTGACCCAACATATGCAATTTTTGCCGCGGATGTGAAACTCGTGTATGCTGGAAGTTTTCTGCAGTGCGATGGCGTGCCGCGCTTCTTGCTGAGACACCACCTAGCGAAACGGGTCGCAGCCGCTCGTGGCGTCGTTTCGTTAACAGCGAGAATGTCCTCCGCTTATATCCATAAAAATCGTGCCATCAGGGCCTTTGTCCTGAAAAAAAAAAATATGTTTTCAGAGCGTCCCTAAATGCTTACCTGCTTCCAATTTGGCCTTTGTACTGTGATATATGCGATATCTTTGGTGGTGGTTTCCCCTTCGTAGTGACTATTATCATATCTACAAAATTCGGACTACCAGCTAAGTAGATGGATACTTGAAAGACCAATCAATAGATGAGTTGAAGGTGTAACTTTTTCATATATACTTCTAGTACGTATTTTATATGACTGGCATGATTGGTAATCTATCGAAGGTGTGTTCATTTTCCTCACAACTCCAAGTTTGCTCCCAAGTACCTAGGTTAGATACAAGTCACATGATCCTTGTTCCCACAGAGAATGTCACTGACAAGAGATTCTTGGTTAGTAGTTTCCATTCCGTTGATTTGCCAACGACTGCGGCATTTTCTTTGCCTGCCGAGACTCGCAATATCCCCCCTCCCCCAAAGTAATGGTTACACATTGGTAATCGCATTGTTGAAAACCATCTCAACTCTCTGATGTTTTTTTTTTCTTCTCGCAAGACATTTCTCCAGATTGGTACCTTTGGACGAAATGGCCCGAGCCGCATCAAAAAAGGAAAAGCACGATCTTACGCACGAGACAAGCGGCGTCGCTGAAGATTATCCTTGGCTGTAGCTTCCAGTCAGCCGGGACAGGAACAACCAGGTTTACAGCCAAGAAACCGAGCCATATTTTTGGAAATGGGAGTAGAATCCGTTGACGATGCGCTCTGTTTGTACACGCTTCAAATAGTGCAAGAAATGGGTTAGGAAATTACCGTACAAAGTAGTCCATGTCAAGATCTACCAGGAGCCCAGACAAAAGCAGTTGGAGTAAGAAGTTTCTCCTACCTTACGTAGGCGTTGGAGTCAACCCTATTTCCCCAGGACAAATACAACAGGCGCGGGATGCAGGATACAGATTGTGACCCCCAAAACCACATCCCCACCGTCCGAGCCGAGAGTCAAAGCTGGTGGAGGCCCTGGCACCATGTATCGATTTGTTCAAACCCCCATCATCATCTATCGCATTTGCATATAGCATATCAGTCTTGCATGTTACTGCTCGGGCACTAGACACTGGTAAGACATTCTATTTCCAGGCCAAAGTGCTGGTTAGCGTGCCGGGAATCCGGTCAATGCACAAGAATCACGCATGGCAAGATGGACTTCATGGCTCATGGCCTGAGAAGCCAAGAATCTATCAATATCATTGGAAGATATCCGAGCCAGTATACTAGAGTGCTCAATCCGAGCCGATCTAACAAAGCCACAGCATGCGACGGAGCACTTGAACTTGTCCACATCATGGATCCAACCCAAACTATCGAATCAAGTTAATTATAGACGTACACGCATTTTCATGATCAATTCTGGGGATTAAAGTGCCATAGAATTTTGTGGAATAGTCATTAGCAGAGACTCTCATATAAGTCTTCCATCTTCCTTGCCTTTGCATTCTAAGAGGCTCTATATACGCATGGTAAGTCCCGGAATGCCACAGGTCGCAACATAGAAGGAAGCATCTCTTGGATTATCGTGATATGCACTTTGTAGAAAGAATCATGTATCATGTTTCTTTTCATAGCCACCTGAGACGTTGGACGCGTAAGTCTCTACATCGACACAGCAGGATACATGAGTATCGCATGCTTTGCCAGTCAGGTGTTTGGACTTGGCGCATTGCATCAGCGTAAGTCGTTTGAATGTCATTGATGCCCTGCCGTCAAAAAGACTGTTGTCCCGCGCTTGAGCAATCTCAGGTGATTTCGGCGTCGCTTGGAGGATGGCTGAATGTAGGTTTCGGTATTTTGAGAGATATTGTGCCGTCTCTGATAGTTTTCGGAACCAGGACGGTGGGAGAGTGAGAGAGAGACCAACGTGAGTATACCTACTACATACCCATCTAACTTCATACTGAGATGTAATACTCAACGATACATTGTGACGTTGTTACTAAAGGCTGACCAGCATACTTTATTGAAATAGCCACAGTTAGGCACGCCTGAACTTATGATAAATGCAACCTTGCTGCAGTATTACACAAGTTTGTGTACTTTAATGTTCCTAGTGTTATTACTTCATGTGACAAGAATCCTCTCTGCTAGTTCAAATAATACCTATTGTTAATGCTTATGCGCGGAAAGATTCCTCCGGATATAAATGTGCAACAATTGATGACCCGGCTTTAGCGGAGGGACGGGATTCGCTGTCCAATAGATAGGCGGCATAACTTGACTTCATGCTTCAAGACCACGAGATGGATTCATGGCTGTCTGAACAGACAAACTTTTATGAATGTTGATTCCAACATCCGGGATCTTGGTAGGCCACGACACCAATGAGCATGGCCTTCCGTATGCAACCACTAGTTGGGTCTTCTCGTGTCTACGCCTGTCTCTAAGCTCAAGTGAAGCTGAAGTACCATCTTGTGTCGGCCTGAGCGACGGCTTGCAGAAATGCTCACGTATTCCGTGGAGCAAAAGAAAGCAGACATGTATAGCTCCGAAAAATACATGCTCGGACAAGGCCGTGACAGAAAGTTCCATCGATTGTGAGTGATAGCGTCTCGGAAATCGACCCGGTATGTCGTTGTATGTTCATTCTTTCACAACCCTAATTCGCAGCACGCGACGGCAGTCACGTTGCAGAAAGACGAGCTGAATAGACATTTTAGTCGTATCTCCAGTTTGTCATGTCGACACTGATATTATTGCAGGTATAAATCTATCAAGAACCCCAGGCACCTCTTGGAAGAAATTGTATCCTCTCCATCATCTTGAGCCCATCGCATCAGTCCCCAATACAGAATCAGAACCAAGCTACAACAACGGTCAAAATGCTCTCCTCAATCGCAATTCACCTTCTGATGGGTCTGGGCCTCGTCATGGCAGAGCCCATCAAGGTCATTCAGCAGCGTCAGTTTGGCGAGGGCGTCGTTGAGGCTGGATCCATCCAGGTTCGCGACGCCGAAGTTGAGGCGCGCGCTTTGAAGAATATTCAAGCTCTCGCAACATTCGACACCTTGATTGCCAATACCAATCCCACCTCTTCGATTGGATCCTATGGTGCCTTGACCTGGCAGGGAATCGGTAAGACAGAGACTTCAATCAAGTTTGAAAACTTGCGAAAAGTTAACATTCATTCTATAGCCGTTGCCAAGGTTGGAAGAGCTCCAGTCATTGGAATTATCCCCATTTCTGCAAACAATGTTGCAGTCTACGGAACGATTTCGCAAACCATTAGCAACATTGCTACCGTCTCGGCTGTGTACCCTGGCTCCAAGGTCGCGAGCTTCTCTCTCCAATCATTCTACTACGCATGCACTGCTAGTTTTGGAAAGCTCCCCACCGAGTGCCGAGTGGGTGTTGCCGGCTACGACAAGAAAAACATTCTCATCGCGTACAAGGCCTTTAACTTTCCCAGCAGTACTGGTTTCGCTACAGCCCGAATGTCTACTGCTACGCTGAGCTCGGCATTCAAAGGACTTGCCTACGTCAAGTTCAGTACCACATACCTGAACAACATTCCCGGCGTGACAGTCCTCGACAACATGCAGTACACCATCACAACTGCCTAGCTCAAGCGCACAAAGTAAATTCGACTCGTTGCCTGAAGCTTTAATGAGCAGGCTTGGCTGGATACTCTCATCAACTGGCCCACCGAGACACTGGGCGTGTCGGGCTGGGTATAAGCATTGAAGATTGTTATTGGTCCGAGGATCTGCATTCCATATTTCTGTTTTGATGTTGTTTCCTGTTAAATATTTTGTCTTGATTGAATTCGGCACTACACCACGGCTTTATGTCGCTCAGTCGTGAGTTAACATGGGGGCTGCTCCTACATAGGCCAATCTACAAGTCCTTTCATGCCAGAGTGTTCTTCTTGTTGATGCTCAAGACTCAAAAGTCGAGCTCCAGTTGATCAACAGTGCCATGCTCCTGTTCCTCGCCACCGGGAAGTTTACTGACAACTTCAACTGCCCTTTGAAGCTTTAGTCGCACATGCTTCTTGCCGTCATCATCTGCTGTCCAAGAGATATTGGCTACATTAGCCTTTCCAATTGCAACATTGGCCACGATGGAATTGCTCAGGTGCAATCTAGGCTTGAACATTATCTTTGAAGCTCCAGCTGCGATGGGACGTATACCAGCAAGCTCGGTACAATATTCGTAGATCGGGACGCTGCCCCAGGCATGACAGTCGGAGCGCTGTCGCACGTCGTCTTCTTCCCAAGTGGTAAGATTGTTTGCTAGCATCTGGCGCCAGGGATCCCAAACAGTAGTCCAGAGCGACTCGTAGGCATCATCACCCGCCAGCGCAAAAGCTCTCAGAGCGTAGAATTTCATGACGTAGGAACATTTTGAAAACCGCGGGTTAGCATAGGACTGGGTTAAAATCCGAGTTTGATCATGAGGCTGCGCAGCGCCCGAGAGAACAGCAAAGACTTGACAATGCTCAGAATAGGCCGAGTCGTCTCGAGCGTCAATCGTAGAGTCGGTAAAGAATGCTCCGTCGTAGCAATGTGCTCGGACGGCCTCCACGACAGCTTCAGCCCTGGATTCGTATTCCTGAGCATAGCCGGGTCTTCCCACATCACGCACCAGCTGGGCAGCCTGTTTGAGCACGTAGGCATAAAGCAAGCTGAAATAGGTATGACGATTTGTTTTACGCCCCGAGGTCGGCACGCCTTTGTCGGGGTGGTCTTCGGTCGCACCCCAAGTCGTGACCCAGTCGACGTACTGCCACACATCCTCAGGAAGCCCACTCACGAGACCCAAGCTGTCGATGTGGGAATGGAAGAATTCAAACACGCCATCAATACGCGGCAGAAAGGAACGAGTGTACGGCGTGTCCCCAAAGAAGAGATGGTGGTCGCAGACCTGGAGAACCCAGTAGAGGGAGAAGCCAGCGATGATTTGAGGTACATGTGACGGGAAGCGTGACTGGGTTAGCCCTTCGGGGGTGACTGAAGCTGCAAAGTTCGTAATGGCTTGCCTCATTAGTCTGTCATCACCAGACAGTAGATAATGAAACAAGCCAACAGATCTTGAATCGCCCGAATATCTGTAGTACTTGCGTCAGCGATCAGTGGACCCTCCTAAATGTGCATGTGGATTTCTTACTGCAGTTGTTCGTAGAATGGGCAGTCCGAGTATCCATCAAACATGCAATTTCGCAGTGTCCGGATTGATACATCCCAGATGCTTTCACTATGAGCATCGCCAGGTTCCTTCCACGCCGCTTTTGGTTGGATGGGATAATTTGTCTGCTTTGCATCAAACGAGAGAAATTCAACAGGGCCAGCTCCGACTGTAATTTCTAGGCGTATCACACGGAATGTCCGAAACCAAAAGGGCTCATATTTGACCATTTTTCCAGGACCTATATCCAAAGATATCTCATCAAAAGGACCTATGAGGTGGTGGTCGTCCTTCTGCAAGCGGTCGTCTTTGGTTCGAAAGAAGGGATAGGACCGAGGATCGCACTCATAGCCTTCGGAGTATGTCGTCTTGATTTGTACGCTTGACGAGTTATCTGCTCTGAAGGACCATGAGATGAATGCAGTAGAATGTACATCTGCCTGTAGCTCAAGTACATGTTTGGAGTCGCTGGAAAGAGTCAGAGGCTGACCATGTGAGAGTACAGCCTTCCAGTCATCAACGCTGTTGCTGCTATCACAGGAGCGAATGGTATTGACTGCCACTGAAGTCTCCTCGGGCCGTGGGATGGTACGAGATCTCAGGCGCCAAGGTGCCAATTCGCCATTCAAGGTTTTGAACCCGTATAGCTTTGGAGAAATCCAGGGACTTGGCGCAGTTTGTGCAGTGCGCTCGTTAATCTATCATGTTCTCAATCGTACCGCATTGACCACTATAGGAGGGCGTCTTGGCTTACGTGAAGAAAAACATCGTCTATCAGTCCAGTGGGGAAAAGAATGCTGTCGTCAACTTGCGCTCTCCACCCTTCCCTTGAACTGAGGGACACTTGGGACTGTCCGGCTTTTGCTTCGCCAACAACGGTCAAGCCGGGAAATGAAGTCCGAACAAACGGCATTGCCGCCCGCGAGGCAGCAAAATATCTTAGCACCACGAACGTGATCTGATTATCCCCATGCTTGAGGTGCGATGAAATATCTAGGGTATCATAATACCAGATTGTGCCATGTCCCCGGGCTGGACCAACAGCAACTCGGACGCCATTGACGAAAAGTTTGTAGCGTGTGTCGGCAGAAAAGTATAGAAGCGCTTTTTCCGGGGCGGAAGGCAGGCTGAAATCTCTGGTGAAATTGACAATCCGTCCTGCTGTATTGGCTGTGGAAGAATCAACCCAGTCGGGCACCCAAACCCAATTGGCTTGTAGCTCGTTGATGGTCTGCGGCAGCCTGTTAGCACGATCTTTTATGGGTGCCTACCGATCGCCCCATGGCAAAGTAAAGGCATACTCACACTTTGTTCCTCGGACGAAGCCATCATGATTGATCAGGTCTCTATGTATGTAATGTAGCCTACAGAACACCCCCAAAGATGTGCTCCCTCAAGAGATATACACAAAGCAGTGGGCCTGTACCGTGAAGCGCCCAGTGATCATTCTTGGCCAAGCCGTGGTAGACGTAGGGGGTCATGCTAGGCGGTCGGGGTGTTCATTACCGAGACTATGCCCTTATTCGTGGAAACGGCATATGCTCCTCCAACAGCGCCATCTAGCTGCTGTGAGAGCCCATTTGAACAACAGCTGGACAATGAATACTCCATAGACTATAATCAGCCATTATACTAACGCTATCTGCTAGTAAAGCTAGGCTTAAGCTCAATTAGAACCCATGACGCCCAGGCACATCCAGACGTTTCTATACTCTGTATCAATTCTTTGTCGCTGCTTTGATTTTGCTGGGTTATCGCGGATTCGAGCCGAGGATTTCCAGGATGGCGGGGTAATTTCAATTGCCTCAACATCAACACGGTGAAATCCGCGTGGGGGGGCTTGCTTTGGCCCTGGGAATCCCCGCCTTTCGCGATACAAGCAGGCATTGTACTGCGCAAGACTTCTTTAGCTACATACCCAACCTTACCTAGAAGTCATACAATACAATCTATAATATGAACAGCCCTGAACAAGGAGAGCTTATACTTGGTCAGCGTAAGCTAAGCGCCATCAGGGCCTTCTAGGTAATGTAATCTATAAAGAACAGCTCAACGAATTGACATGGCCCTACAGGTTATTTCAGATCCTGTCGCCACAAAGTGACCTCTCCATGCCGAGCGCGATAAGTTGGTTACAGTAGGGGATCATGCGCTACTTTGAACGAGAGTTTCAATCGCCACGCCCTTTCACACCACCCTACGGAATACAGGAAATGCCTTCAATATCTCCACACATTGGGGACAAATCTTATCTTGAAGCAATTTCGCCAATTACTATGATTGGCAAAACCTCTATTAACCGTCCGCCGTCTCCAGACCGTACGCAAGCCACAGCGTTCACCGCGCTGTGGCTTGCAATGATCAAAGCAGTATTATATAGTGCAGACTCCGTATCTACTTGCCGAAACCACCATGATCTGGTCCCTTTTTTGAGTTAGCAGTTCGTGAACTGATTTCGTCCACTTCCAAAGTCCATCGCAGTGCAACACTAGAAACGGAAATGGAAAATGACCTCAGAAGGAGTCGTCGTTGTTACCACATTTGCGGTGGTTCGTTGACTCCACTCCAGTCAATGCAAAACCCCTGGTACCGGATGATCCGGTAGATCACTTACTGAATTACTCAGGGCTCAATACTCGACAAGGCCGCATGCATATGCCATGTGAAGAGCACAAGGCTTGTCAGGGGCTGCACTGGCCTCTAACTATTACCCATCTCCAGACTACTCGCTGCGCAAATGTCAAATAGTATAGTATGAAATTCAAATCATACAATAACCACACGCTTGGGCTTTTGATGATTACTCCAGGCTTTTTACTCTCAATCTAGTATCCCATATTGGCATCATCTTGTCTTGGCATGAGGAACTATTAATCTGAAAGAAAAGCTTGTTTCGTCCCAACGAAGGGGAGGATGCCCACTCTCACTTTTCAATCCCTTGCCGCCTCCGCTTTGGGGACTTTCCTGTTTCTGCATCCTACCCCGTTGCCTCTCTCTACACTCTCGACTACGCAGACCTGATGTAATGTAAGTGACTCCAAGTACATCCCATAGACCCAGCCAAGACTTTACCCGTCTTGGCAGGCATATCAAACAATGTCCGTCCTCCACAGGGCGAAGCGCTTCATTTTTCTATTGCCGTGAATGTCTATCTGGGCTTGTCTTTGAGCAGATGATGCGACCTTCCTGAACAAATTGTGTGAGCCCACCGAGCTGAAAGCTGCATCAGTGGAATGCAGCTTTGAATGGAGCCCCATGACCCCCAACATCAAAGTGCAAAGAGTTGCACCGTGACTCTTTATGAGCATTGCGCCCCCCTCATGGCGATAGACTTGAAGACTGACGGAACAGTGGCAATGGTCAATTTAGCTCGCTGAGAAGCTGATTGGGTTTGTGATATCGCCAACCAAAATAATGGCACTCTAATTAATTTATGGCACGGCATTTGCCAAAGCATGTCACCACAGCTGATTTTACGAGAGATAACAGCATCCCGTATTACTTCATCCTCAATGTGATTTGCTGCAGCATTGCAGGTTGGCTCTATAAAGAAGGTGTCAAGATGATTTTAATCTATTCACATCACCATGTCTGCTTAATACCTGGTTCCTTATCCAGGAGCAGTTACCGGCCGCCTGTCCGTCACGCCTATAGTAGATCAGTTATTGCCTAAGACCACATGGAAACAGCAACGAACGAGGAACATGTTTATCCAGCAACATTGGATATAAAGTCTTGGCTCAATCCCATTCCGGTCAGATTTTTGTCTTGGCTTCCTTGGCTTGCAGGCATACCAGTCAGTTTCGATCCCTGGGAATCATCTTTATCGAGTTCGACACTTTGCAGAACGCTTCATCTCAGCCCTATATCTCTTGGCCGCTACCACCCTCTGCTTCAGATAAGATGAAGTTCTCCGCTGTTATCGGTGCCATTCTCGGTGCCTCCGCTGTCGCTGCCGCTCCCGGTACTGCCAAGCGTCAGGAGCGTGCAGCTCGCCTCATGAGCGAGCGTCAGAACCGCAAGAGCGGTCTCATGATTCCCGACATCAACGAGACCGATGAGCCTGCCGTTATCAATGGCACCAAGCACGTCTCCTACTCGACGAACGTACGTGTGTGATCAAGTTAGTAGCTGTCTGTGCAGTCGCTAATGTTTTTGTGTCAAACAGTGGGCCGGCGCCGTCCTCATTGGTACGGGCTACACGACCGTCACTGGTACCTTCACCGTGCCCACCCCCAAGGTTCCGACCGGCGGCAGCTCTGCCAAGACCTACTCGGCATCCGCATGGGTTGGAATCGACGGCGACACGTGCTCGTCGGCCATCTTGCAGACGGGCATTGACTTCAACGTCCGCGGCGGCCATGTCTCGTATGACGCCTGGTACGAGTGGTACCCCCAGGTCGCCCACGACTTCACTGGCATAACCATGGAAGCCGGCCACAAGATCACCGTGACCGTCACTGCGTCGAGCAAGAAGACGGGTACGGCCGTCATCAAGAACGAGACCACGGGCAAGTCGGTCACCCACAGCTTCACGTCCGCCACGGCTTCCCTCTGCGAGACCAATGCCGAGTGGATCGTCGAGGACTTTGAGGAGGGCAGCAGTCTCGTCCCCTTTGCCGACTTTGGCACCGTCACCTTTGAGGATGCCACTGTCAATGGCAAGGGAGTCACGGGCGCCACCATCATTGATCTCCGCCAGAGTGGTAAGGTTCTGACCTCTTGCTCGGCCAGTGGAGAGAGCGTCACTTGCTCCTATGTCTAGGCGATGCTAGAGACGTTGATGCTGAGTCCAATCGGCGAGAACCCCGGAGCTGAGAAGATGCTACAGTGAGAAATATCTCGTCAAGATTTTCTTCCTACCTTGTGTATATACTTTTTAGATTGATTTTAACAAACACTCGTTTATTGACTTGATACATCATTGCCAATCAGCGGCTATGATTGTGTATATAATCATAAGGTTTCTTTAGATATATGGCTGCTATGTGATGTCATAACAAGATATGCAGAAATAAAAGATATGAACAACAAGGCTGGCTCCCCAGCGCTTCCCGTATGGGCCGGTTCGCCGTTCTTGGCTTTGCAGGAATTGACGGCTCAGCGATGAACTAGAGCAGTGTTTGTGTCGAGCATGCCGACTTGACCGCGGTAAAGTTTCTTAACCAATGTAAGAGACGGTGACCTGGGTGCTGCTGTCAAGGCTAACATCAGTCAGAACCTTGTTGCTCTGCTTAATGTCAATGATCTCAGCACCAGTGACTCCGACAGTGCCGCTAGAGGTGGTGGCTTGAGCATTGGTGAAGGTGACGGAGCCAAAGTCAGCAAAGGGTACCAGCGAGCTGCCGGAGCTGAAGTCTTCGACGATCCACTCGGCGTTGAGCTCCTGAAGCGCCTTGGTCTGGCCGCTAAAGGTGTGAGTGACCGACTTGCCAGTCGACTTGTTGGAAACCACAGCCGTGCCGCCCGTCGTGCTGGTGGCCGTGACGGTCACGGTGATGGTGTCTCCAGCGGAAATGGAGATGCCACTGAAGGTATACGCATCTATTTCCTCTGCGTTAGCATGCATTGCTGGAAGCCATGACAGGACTCTGGGATTTCGTACAGTCGGGATACCACTCGTACCAAGCGTCAAAGCTGGTCGTGCTGCCCTCGACGTAAAAGTCGACACCAGTCTGCAGGATGGAGTTGGTGGCGGTATCTCCATCAATACCCACCCACGCGCTTTTGAAAAATAAATGTCAGTAATTGTTTTCCTCCTGTCATATAAGCGCCAGAGCCAACGACAACACTGATTACTAACCTAGCGGCCTTGTAAAAGTCAGCACTTTGCTTTCATCAGGTAGTGTTACTGGTTGACTTACATATTCAGTTCGGGAGCTTCCACCCGAGGGAACAGAAGGAGTCGGGACCACAAAAGTGCCAGTCACAGACTTGTATCCCTAATTCTTGTGTTAGCGCGCAGTCATGGAAAGTCTGCCAGGACGCAACTTACAGAACCGATAAGGACAGCTCCGGCCCAGTTGGAGGAGTACGAAACTTGCGTCTCATTGTCAAGAGCCAGACCCTCGATGATGGAGTCATCAGCAGGAAGTCGGGGGTTGCTGTTGCGCTCAGCTGCACGCTTGGCAGCACGCTCGGCGTGACGTTGGCGACGAGCCTCAGTGAAACGGGCACCGAGGGCAGCCTCAGCGCAAGCAAGTGCGGTGATGACAGCTGTGAACTTCATGATGTATGATGGAAGACTTTGTTCTGATGGAATGACTTGAAGTTGGAAGGCTTGTGTGAGCTTGGACTGAGAGCAGAAGACAAATTGGCTGCGGCCAGCATCAAGTCTTTATAGTCGGGGCGTACTGATGGTCTTGGCATTGGGAGAATCACAAGTGCAAGCAAACCATCTCATCCCGGGTACGTCTGATTCTAGAATCGAATGGCACCATATACCTTGTCTCGTTCAGCTCAAATATTCCTCAAATGAGAAAGACACAGAACATATTGAGGCTCAGGGTTTGTCAAGAAATGGAGCTATGCAAGGTGGATAGCTATCGCGTGATGCTGTTACAAGGCACGAGTACGTACGCATCCTCATGTTGTTTATTGCATATCTAGGTATGCGGCGGCTCGACGTAGGATCGTCAACGAAAAACAAAGATAAGGGTTGCGGGCGAAATGGGATGTCGACAGTCCCGGCAACCAATTGTGAATGATACACACTTGATGCACATGTCGGGAGTGTAACACGGGCAAATGAACTAATGCACAGTTGGAGTCGTCCTTGTGGCGAGATGCCATGCTATAGCAATATCTGGAGTCGAGCCGCAACCCTTTGTGCCAATGATACCTCAACGGTGATACGTTAATGACCAATAGAGACCAATGGTCAATAGCGGGGACTCCCAAATGGTTTCCTGGGCCCTTCTCCATCTTCTGGACTAAAAATATGCATGGCCAAGCCGAGCCAAGCGCTGTTGAAGGAAACTGGCCGCCATAATGTTCCCCTTCGAGCTCCTTGGATGTTAAAACAAGCTTCAAATGGACAGTCTGGGCATGGCCAAGAACCATAGGGCAGAACGCCCTCATGCTTCATCCCTTTAGAAGTCTTGGCTGCTTATCAGGTACAAGATCTTTGGACAAGACAATATCATTGTCCAGCCTCTTTCTGCTTGACCAAACCGAATAAATTACGTCGATTTCGCAAAGTTAAACGCTTCTCCATCTTGCCCCAAGGCTCGGCCGCTCCAGTCCGGTTTACGAGGCGTATCACGACGATTGTTCACTGCATGGCACCACAACCAGAATCCTACGTTACGATTTTCAGACCCAGACTCGCCTTTGCAGTTCCTTGCCTCCATGCAACCTTTGTTGGGCCGTATCGGCAGAGGTGCTGTAGATGTCGACGACCTCTGGTGTGAAGGGAAGCTACCTTTCCAGAACAGGAAGGTCAGGTATCTACTGACTTGGCCACTAGCCAGGCACTGGAAGATTCCCAGGACCCTGGTCATTACCAATTCTGACCGACCCATCTGCGCATCGAAGCGACAAGGGTGGCAACTCTCCACCCCAAACAGCCTCACCAGCAAGATTTCGGCCTGCGATACATAGCGTTATTGTAAGGATGTTAAGACGTGATGCTTCTTTTGTTTGCTAAATCGAGCTTTTACTCATAATAAGACCCACCAATAAGAGACTTGAACAACTTGCTGCATCGTCGAAATATCGCCAGAAAAGCATTCATGTCTCTGACACGACAGCATGACATGCTATTGTGCAATATCAGAGCAATTCGCCAAGTCTTTCAATTATCCAAATGGTGTCGCAGTTGCGCGACGCCTGTGATGTGCCTATTTTGAGACTCCTGCACCGGTATACGAATCAATGTAGCACTGAATATCGATTGCAACTTCGTCACATGTCTTGGCTCGAGTGCCAAGGCGGTTTGCATTTATCCAACTTCTTCATTCTCGAGTTGGCCACAAATCGTCGCAAGGACTGGTTTATCCGTCAAGCAACACGGATAATTTGGTGATTTGCCACGATATACGTGCGTTGGGTGCCACGATTGCTTCTCCCCTCGTTCGTTTCTCTGAGTGACAAAATTATCCAATCATCTCGAAAACTCATTCCAAACGCTTGTGTTGCGTCCGCACCTGATCCTGCATTTGCGCACTGAAGGAACGACTCAATCGCGGGACATCCTGATAACCCGTTCCCTGGGAATGACTCTTGCATTATATTTTCAATTGGTGATCATACTATCTTTCTTTCAAACCTTGAATATTGCTTATCTTCGTAGACACGGTCCAGGCAGTTCTAGCATTGCGCTGACCAGAGAGATGGGATTCCCGCTGTGGTTCCTGCATTTCTATAACTTTACCAGTATAATGTGGCTTTCGCTAAACTGCTTGTGACTTGGCAGTGGCGATTGAACCTCATTTGCAAGCAATTTAAGCAGAATCAGAAGCAGGCCAGCCCCACAGCGAGACGTCTTGTGCTGCTCATCCGGGGCAACGGGGAGATTGTGCTGTCATTATATTTTATATTCTATGTTCCTTCGCAGAAGCTTTGTGAAACCCACCCTTCCTTTATTAGAATGCACGCTTACTAAGACTGTGGTGCACTTGGTTTCCTCAATGGTTCAGTTGGGGGTAAGTACCCAGAGAGGAAACCCTAGAGGTACTCAGCCACATGACATTGCCTTTCCTATTTGTTCAGCCAGACAGCCAGCCTAAGCATTTTCCGCTGTACCTGGTGTATCTTCCTGTACAGAGGTACTCGTCCATTCTATCGTCGTGGACCACGATGCTGCTACACTACAATTTCTCTGGTTTACTTGGCACAAATGGGCGCGCCAAAGTCCCAAATATCGCGATGAACTTGCCCAATGTCAATTGAAATGTTTGTTATCAATCGGATTGAAACTCACTCACAATTTCGTCAAAAAATCTGAAATGCAAAGGCAATGCCAGGTATGAGTCACCATCGCGAAAGGCTCTTATAAGGTGCAAGACAGTTCCGAATTTTCCTCTTTGGAAGACATCGTTGAAGAAGCTAAGATATAGAAGTTGATCAGTAGAGTTAATATTTCATTCGCCTGTGTTTTCTTTTAGGAATTCCTTACAGGGCTTTGTAGAGACCGGCAGGATCTGGCCTCTCCCGGAACACGAGCCTCTCCCCCTCGAAGCTTTTGATGCTGTGTACAACCCGGCGCGCCACCAGGACTGGAGGATCCCCGGCTTCCACGATCACCTTCTGGCCATCTAGAGAAACCTCCATCCTGCCCTCAAGGACCGTCAAGTATTCGGCGTGATTCTAAAGTTTTCCGAGCATTGTTGAGCGGGTCTACACGACCAAAAGTATGTGTTGTTTTCTGCCAGCTCACCTTATGCCAGTGTGGGGGTATGAAGAGTTGTTCTTCACCCGACACGTAGGTGTCCATGGCATACCGATCTACCGAATCTTCAGGCTCGTTCTCGTCGATAGTGATATCCATCGTGGTGCCCTGGGATATCCAGTTATCATATATTTGTAATCAATACTGGCTGTTCGACCCACCTCTCCAACCCCAAGGGTTTTGAGAACCTGGACGGAACTCATTCTGAGCAAATAGGTCTATTTGCAGCGACTGTAGAGTGGTGGGAAATGGAGGCTGAGGTCAGTTATCGTGTTTTCTCAAGATGCGAAATCGTGGCATGAGGCTTTTTTGAGATTATGCACAGCTCGTATGGATAATTTGATCTGGGCTCGAGCGAGCACAATTAAAATACATAGAATTGGAGTCGGGCGGAGGGCGGGGTGGGGTGGAAAACAATTACAAGGCCCGGTCCTCCTTATACCAGACGAGACCAAAATCAATGGATTCAGTAATCTACCTAGACATTTGCACCAGGATCAATGCCAAAGATGGAGGATTTCGCAGGGAAGACAGCCCAGCCTGTCCAGGTATCTGATCCTTGGTCTTCGGCCAAAATCACTGGTGCATAGGAGTAATTAAGTTTTGCCTTCTGTATTTTCATAGTCATTAGCGCTAGCAAGGGCTGTGGGGGCGGGATCTGATCTGGGCAATGGAGTCGTGGCTTCGTGGCTCCCATCACACGATATACCGCTTGGGTATACTTGAGGGTCCTCAAGCATTAGCCCTATCTAGCCGAGTTGACAATGTGAAGGGACGTCTGAAGCAGGAATAAGTCCAAGCTATGGACAAATGAGAATTTCCTCTGGTCCCAACTGTCTGGAAATGCTCCATGTGTCCTGCAAGGTATGTGATGATGAGAGAACGTTGTATAGAGTAATTAAGAAAAGGGTGCTTCAGCCCTACGTTAGCGCTTGTTGTGGGACGGGAGGTTGTGCGACGACGCATCGTACTCCATAAGCATCTACGTAGTATGCACATCCATAATCACGAGCTGGGCGCGCAGATAATTTGCATGTGCATATAACCGTAACCAGCCAACACGATCACTTTCTAGCATTATCGCGAGTCTTACGTATGGACAGAGGGCATGGAGGCTACGTGGTTCGAAACGCTGACCAATTTCGCAGTAGTCGAATGGTCTCCGTACTACCTATGGAATAGACTACGTATTATATGAGTTACCCATCAACAACCTCATGCGTAAGCCGAGGATCTCGTGCCATCAGGTAAACTACGGCGGACCCGTCAAGATATTGCCAGCGGCGGCTCACATTCATCTTTTGATTATGGTCTCTTTGTCTAAGCGTCATTGCTAATAGGAGCATTCCGATTCATGTCAGGTGTTGACAGAGGTGTCGCCAGAGAAGTGCAATACGCCGCTCGCCAGTAAATGCAACAGGGCAAGTCGGAAAATCCAGAAAATTCAAAACTGTTTGTTTCTCATCTTCCATTGTCTGCTACAGCGACAAGGAAAACCACAAGCGAGCCTCAGTGGTCCAGTCCAACCGTTATTTAGATTCAGAGTACAAGTTTTTGCCAATTTAGGAACCTTGCGTTGCGTCGACAATTTTCAAAGCCCTGGCCTTGAATCTCCAATCATCGTGGAAACTGTAAGCTCCTCCAGTTAGATCATGCTCTGAAAATACCAGGGTCCCTATTTGCTGGGCATTGAAACCTAATGAGACAATATTCAACAATTCAACGTCACCATTCGACGAGACGGAAACCTCGAAACTCGACTCCTGATATTCCGACACATTATCAACTGCTCGAATAAGCGGCTCTTGAGTGTAGGTGTTGTCCTGGTACACTTCGCAGCCAATATTGTCGGTTCAATGGGAATATAGATGACGAAGATAGTAGAGTCTGACATTCTTTTCAACTTGGCTGCAAAAACATGACGTAAATATTAGAAGATCAACTCGTCACTCTAAGAAAAGATTTTCTACGCTCGCAACATGGTCTGATCAAGCTTTCCTGCACATTACAATTGTACCAATACCGGTGTTACTCCCACCTCCTTTTTTATAATGACATATTATTACTTTCATCAAAGTCTTGGTCCATGGAGGACGGTTCTTTGTGGTTGGCGAGGCCGATACTGTGGACGGCTCGTCTTCTCCAATAGCAGACTCCGCCAAGAACGTCAGCATCGCCGCCATGGACCTTGCTCACACTGCCATAGCGACCAATAGACTTATCGTATGACTATGTAGAAACATCAGTGGCTGACTTATCAGATGAGGTCGGTGCTCTGAACTCTCCTGGTGTCTTTGCATTGTGATGAATTAAAAAAAAAATTCAATCTGCAGCCTGCTTGATGCAGAGAGATTGATTTTTATCGTCTCAAAATCATCTTCTGGTGCTTTTCGAGTATTTAAGACCTTCAGCAGCAAAAAAAAAAAAACAATTGCTAACATAGTGTGCACTCCGCAAAAAAGAGCCGCGACTTGATCTGATCGCATCATACCTCATAACGGAATGACGGAGAAGTCTTGGCTAACGATGGCATATTGCTGGCAGATCATCCAAAGCAAAGTCGGCAGACAGATCCCCCCCCCCCTTCTCCTAAGGGATGTAGCGTTGCGCGACCTGGCATCCGCGCATAAAACTCCTTTTGCCGTCTTTGACTGTCTCAGTTTCTGCACCCGTTTTTTTTTTTTTTTTTGTCGGATTTCTAATTCACCGGGAAGGATATATGTGTATTTCTGGAAAGTAGAGAGATGGAAGATGTTGCCATTGTTAATGAGAAATAGGCTTGTCATCCACGACAGAACATGCTCACTTGATACAATAGTCTTCTAGAAGAGCTCTTCTTGGAGTGTATATTCCGTACGATTCGGACTTGCCGATTTCCGCAGGCAAAAGCTGGCGGCTGATTAATGCTAGAGCGCATTTTTGATAAACTCGATGATATTGTAATTCTATCTTGAGAAGAAGTATTGCGAAAACTTTGTTCCCGATTTTATGATGTGGCAGATTGTGCGCTGGCTTCCTACATGCACCTAAGCACTGGTTCAACCATTGACTCACATAGGCTTCCACTTGGGCATATACCTATCTATGTATTGTCATTCATTTAATGCAAAATGTATTCGCTTCACGATGAATCCCAAATGAGCAAATTCATGGAGACTCATTGCAGTTTACCACGCCTCAGTGATCAGGAATGAGCCAGTGTGAGAGAAATGCAATTGAATTGCTCCCCCGTGGTCATGAGATTGACTCGCTCTGAACATCTACTGGCCAATTCGATGACAGCATGGAGTCGACACACCTGTAACAGTCTCTCGGTATTTGCAATTGCATTCGTAAGTCTTGCTCACTGAAATGCTCGTGTTTGATTTCACTGAATAGTAGATCATCAAATATGTCAGCCACTCTGTATTTCGTATTTGAGGAATCCAACGGGAACACATGGATGAATGTCCGCCGAGAGTCCGCTTGAGAGTCCACTTGAGAGTCCGTTCGAAAATCCGCTTAGGGTCCAAGACAAATCCGATAAAATCCGACAGGTGTCTCCGGATTCCTCGCGATGACTACCAACTGAGATAAATCGTTTGATGCCTGCTATTACGAGACTGGCATAAGCAAAGTTGATATGCAATTATTTGTTCTTGTTCCTCCTGTTGTTTCTTCCTCTTTTGTTCATCGATAGATGGCCTCACGCTACCCGGTGATTCAATGGAGAAAATTGCCAGAAGGTCAAGGTGGTCCATCAAAATCTAGCGGATCCCGAAGTGCCAGGATAAAGAGTGGGATCGATGAGAGCACAGAAAATTGAACTCGTCGAACCTGTCCTTGTCTTAAAAGAACTGCATATATAGGCCTGAATAATTACGAACTTTGTAAGTTTTCTTTTTCTGGCTAGTCATGTGTGATCTTAAATCAACACTTGCTGCTTAGAAACACAATCTCTAAGGAAAGAGGCAAGGTTATCAGGATGTGAACCTCTACGTATCTGCTGGTGCAATAATTCATTTGAGAAGCTCTTGATGGGCCATGACGCGATGGTGCAGAGCCCTCAAGTCGTTAAAGACGAAGAGTATGACAGTTCACGGCCCGAATTGTACAATCAAACTGGCCGTATTCCGCAATACTCGAAGAACCGAAGGGTTTTCTTTCTCGAGTGTGAAAGATCCAGAAACTTGTGCCTTCAGGCCCCGTCTTTTCGCCTCAGCATCTATCACACATTCTTTATTCCTAAGCTGTAAAATTACGACGTATCAAGTGACTCATATCCGCATAGCATTGGATTCGAGTGCGCTTCGTCTGGAGTAAAGGTGTGGTCTCGGAACTATCACCGTTGAGAAATAGATGAAAGACTGAAAGCTAAATACCTCTGCTACAATCGCCTTTTATGAGCGCCGGCCTGGCAACCCCCATCCAGTTGCCCATTCATCTCGAACCCAAGCAAAGTCAAATTTGAACCTTGTCCTCAATGTGGTAAGACAGGAGCAGTCAAGGGAGTAATTAAGCCAGAGAGGCAAGACGAACCAAAGTCCTGCTACTACCATCCCGTCTACGCACTGGGAGAAAGCTCGTACTGAACACAAAATCAAATCGTTGACCGCTGGCTGTTGGGCAGGATTTGAAATATGCGTATGGCCCAACAAGTCCCTTTGCGTATGGGGACCCGATCGACAGGGACTCCTATCGTGGGGTGTAGGATTGTGTGGCTCCATCCCATTCACTGCCGAGATACCTATATCAAGCAGTGAGATGCACGTGCAGGTTCTACTACTGCTACCTGGGTGCATGCCAAACCAAACCATTCGGCAGATACTCTAGCTTCTCGCGTGGAATTAGGACCAAGTCTTGCCGACGCGCATGGATGAGGAATTTCTCCCAAACGGCCAGCCGGCTCTCCGGATGATAATACTGCTGAAGCCTCGTTTATTATCAGCGCAACCCCTGATGGCAGATGACTTTCTCCTTAGTGGCTTCACATCGCATGATTCGTGTGCAGGAATCCGCCATTCCCGTAACCTCGATTGACAAATACTGTCGTACTAAGGCCGTGGGTAGACATCCATGGCGGCGGCAGCAGCGTTGCTACTTGGGGCAGCCAGTCCACG